CTATGTGGACTGTATTGTTAACCTATTTTAGACAAAAAACACCTGACCTCGTATCGACGTGTAGATATCGTTGTTACTTGTACACAAAGAAAATGCTTAATACGAAGAAATAACGTTTATCATTTGATAAAAATACGACAAAACCAAAATTCCGGTGTATCTGAATGTGTATATGTACGTGTGTGTGTGTGTGCGTGCGTGCGTGCGTGCATGGCTAAGAACATGGCAGAGTTGTATGTTGATGTCAAGGTGGCAGTAATCGCGGCAGTAACTACGGCACCAGCAATTATGGGGCGCCGTTCGATCGTCCCCACGATGGAATCCAGGAGATTGTAGCTGCGAGCCAGACGTGTGTTGTTGACATGACCAGGCGAACTAACAAGAGGATAAATCAAGATTCTCAAAATGCAGCGAAAGAAAAGAATAAAAGGAAAAAGGATGCTAGGAATCAGTGCGACCAATACAGAAGCGGTTCAATGAAACGCATTCAGAGATATATATCTCTGAATCATCTACACATACATCTGCTATGATTATACACGTGAATACACAGGCATAGGCATTGATAGACATTTAGAAAGAAAAAGATGTTTTCGTGTTGTATGATAACCAAGCACGATTCTGTTCCTTGAAAAGGCACCCATATGAAATCATCAAAAAGATTAGTCAATTGAATCGATGACGCTCATGACTGATCGATGCTGTTTTAGCAAAAATATTCAGATCGTGTTCGGGTGTCCCCACTAGAAATCAGGTGCTATAAGGCGGCCATAATACAACCGTAATTTTTTAAACGAACCACGTAATGCAAATACGACGTACAATACACGACGCATAGCCTATACTTTGTGGATTCGCATGGATTCAGTGGTAAAAAGCTTAGATTCAGCTTCATATCTTAAATAGACTTGACCTCTTTTTTTGCCTTCCGTTAACGTGACAGCGTTTAAGCAGTCGCTTTCGTGGATTCATTCTAATGCTGGAAAGAGTGTCGTCGTCGTCGTTTGTCAAGCCGTGGGCAAAAACAGGCATTCTTTCAAATGAGATCTGTCAAGCCGTTTGTATTTATGCACAGATGGTGTTCATTTTATATAAACTCTATGCATTTCACTAAACATACGTGGTCATTTACCACATGAGTTCTGTCTACCAATGGAGCATGTATTATGAAAACGGAATAAGTCGCGATGACGTCGCCATCGCTAATATAAATAGCCACATATATTTGACCAATCATAGCATTTGTTCTTGTCTCGAATCTAAATGGCCGCTCACATTGGTATTGCAAAGATAGAATCATATGCTGCTTGTCTTAATCCTTGCTAACGGCGCCACCGTTGCTCCAGCGTCAGATGTCGCTTACCCACTTGATTGGACCCACCGTAGAGATCACGTCGTGCTCATGCTGTTTTGTAGTGTATCTGAATCGGCCGACTCACTCACTTGCGGACAGAACAGATATGTGACGCTGTTTAACATGCATTTCTCTTGCGACATGTATTTCTCTATCGTTTGATGTGACGGCGCTTCAAATACGAAAATGGGTACCCAACTCACGAGAGCATCTATTCAGAAGAAACAAGGATAACAAAAGGATACCTTGTGAAAGCGAAATGCGCACTAAAAATCTAGATATGATATACTTCCCGGCATTCAAAATCAACGGTCGTTACCCTTTTCTCACAGTCTCATATCCCTTACTGTTATGCATTTTACTTTCCGTTGTGGGGTGCCTCCGTCGCCGTAGTCAACAGGAAAAGAAGACCCAACGGTCACGCGTTCGCTGTACATTTTGCGTTGTCTTCTACCATTTCGGTCCATCTTAAAGTAGCGAGAAGCAAATCCTGAGTATGCTTGCTTTGATGGTGCAAGAAACCAGCGCAAATGCTTTCAGCTTCACAGCTTTCAGGGAAGTTGATCATCACTAGCAGCTGCGCGCACTGACGTGGACTTTGTGAACGAAGATGTGTCTCTTGCAGCTTTAAATACAACTTGAGATTTATTTGTCATTGTCAAATGTCTTCAGCACGTGATATAATGCGTATAGTAGCGGCCGCTCTGTCAAATATGGATAATTTTTAAGACAGCGGAAATTTCAACTATTGCTATAACAGAATGAACGATTCTTTCTTCCTAGTGAGATAACGACAACTTGGTCATACACAAGAGTAACACGATTTTAGTACTTTTTTCTCAGTCTGTCTCTAAACAACCGTTGCAACGGTTCAGCTCTTCAGAACTCCGGATGTTCTCTGGATAGTGTAGATGTAGGTGCTGTTGGCAAATTTACCATTTTATTTCCACCTCACACTGGCCAACGAATAACAATGGTATGGCTTTGTCACTAACGAACCGTCCCAATCCCTGAACTGTCGCGTAGATACATCCGAATAGGCGACTTGTAAGCATGCGAGGCCCCGAATAACGTGGATGTGTTCTATAGACACATGGTTAGAGCCAAGCAGAGGAATTGGGGAGGATCAAGGAAGAGAAAGAAAAAAGAATGAAAAATAAAGGTCGAACCCCGTAATGGCGGCCTATCCCGTTCCAAGGGTCTATTTTTTAGAAGTAAACAAAGCTCGAGCTTAATGAACATGACAATAAGACGTTGCTGGGATTGATTTATCTACTCCCATCATTATGGGTGCTATTGTGAAGATTTCTCTGCTTAGTATGATATTGCAGCACGTATTGGTCCTTCTTCTGCTAACAGTTGAAATTAAACTACATCCTTCTGTATTACAGGTAGATGTGTTGCGGCAAATCTAATTATAAGACATTTACCGTCACATAGAGAAGAGTAGACAGTAAACTAAGAATGCATAGACAAAATCTGTACTAGAGCTTGGTGTGTACTGTTAATTCCATCAAGATGTAACAGGGTAGGCAGTCTCGTTTGGGTCGAAAATATGATGCTATCTCTTTTTTTTTTTTATTTCGTTATTCAGTCAAAAATTGATGTGTACACGACAAATACATCACAGAATAGTCACTACTATCAGCATAAATAGAGATTTAGGCTCAGTATTCCTAACAAATCACTTTTCTCTAAACTAACCTAACTAGACAATATATATATGTCTTCCGCTACCTTAAATAGTGCAACCTTGTGTAGGTGCGAAATATTTGCTTTTTTCATCTTGTAGCAGGGCGTGTGTGACCCAAGTCATGATTAACAAGGTCTCGCTATGACCTTTTTAGCCGCATTTGCTTTACTTGAACTGCCAACGAGATCGAACCATATTTAAATCGCCCTATTACTTTGTTAATTTCATCTTATTTCTCGTTTAATATTATCATTATCATCTAATATCTTACCAGGACACTCCCAAATCTCGGCGTGGCGGCATCAGATGCTGAAAACACTATCTTTAATACTGAACCCGTGGAATCGGAACTGAATAGAAGGGAAGACGAGTCTATAGAACGCTATATGTACATGCTGTTATGTAGATCATAACGTTGCAGAATAATCATCAACGTAATTTATCATCACAGTACTATATATATATATATATATATATATATATATATGGAATACACAAGAATATTATTTAATTTCAGTGATATCATCAAATGCTTCGACGATAGCATTCCAGCAATTTTTAGGGGCCCGCAAAGCCCTCACGGTCGACTGAGTCGCGCATGAAGATCTCATCGACATTTCACTAGTGTGTGTTATAACACTACGACCAGTTACTGTTGTACGCGCTGCGATATTGACAGGCTAAGATCTATATATAAGAACGAATTGCCGTGGATTACTCGAACTGTTCAGAAGTGCGAGTGGCAGAGATGAGCTGCCGCACGTGAAGTTGTACGCTGGTATTGCTATGGCAATATTTTTTCTTACGGTGACACTGTGCCGCCATGAGCACGGATTCTCCGTAGCATAATCGTCGATGTGGCCATAAATCTATATGGTCTGGTATATGTACATGTGTGTCTGTGTTTCCCCGTGAGGCATGCTTCTTGCGCTTCTGTACAGGAAAGCACGGCTCGTACCTAGATAACTATATTATGTTACTTCGATAAGAGCTGATTTAGGACCAAGGTACCTCGTCCGGCCTCGCTAGACTGGGTGGTCTAAACAATACGGGCGTTATTGGTAGTTGTCATCGAGTCGAGATCGTTCTGTTCTTACTACTTATTGTTTAGCGATCTTCACTCGTCTTAAAGTACCGATCACCTGAATTACCTGAAAAAGACGAGACAAAGATTATATACGACTTTCTTCCGCAGGTCTTCAGCTATGACTGAAGCTGTTATGTGTCCAGGTTGTTTTTACTATCATTAGTCATCTTTTTCTCGAACCGTCGCTTCGTTGCAGTTGAATCGAGATAGCTGCAGAAGAACTCGTAGACGACCAGTAGTGTCTCCATTGATTCCTTTAACCGTAATGATGATACGGTTAAATGCAGTCAGTTGAGAAGAAATGCTTGATGAAAGCGAGCTTGTGCCAGCTGATCAATCATGGGCTTGTTACGTATTGTCTGGTTGCCCACTGCCTGTTTGCTGTAGAAACACCAACTGGAACAGATATAGGAACAAGCGTTTTGTAATAAGCGGGTCGAATGGCATTCTTTCGCCTTTTGCCCGCATCATATCCAGTCTGCCACACGATAATCGCCGACATCAATTGCAGAAGTAACTAACGAATGAAAAAGATTCATCTTATCGGCGGACTAACAAAGTGTATCAGAAAAGCATGACGAGCTCGGGAATTAAGCGAAAAGCAGAACTACTTGGTTGAAAGCCATGGGTCATCTGTATTATTTTATCGTAGCTACGCTGTCACGTCTCTGCTACCGTTCGTAACGAATGCAAAGGATCCCTTTCGGATTAAGCAGATCAGCATTTCGTTCACAAGCAGTCTTGTATTTTTCTTTATAATCAAGATAAATCGGTTAACTTAGTTATAGTTTGGGTAACCTGTAATCGGCGGGACTTCTTATTTCAACATAAACAAGCAAATCTAATTTAATCTATTGATTTTTTAGGAGATGATGCCGACGATCTTGAGGATGAAGATGACGAATCTGACGCACCATCAGATACAGAAACTTCGCCGTTACTTCTCCATGAAATCAACGCGGGCCCCTCAATCGAGATCCATCCACAGGAATTGGAAGTGCCTCTACATCAGTCTCCCAAAGACAACTCCGGTGACCTAGAAGAAAGTCACTATCTTACGTGTGCGGCGGATAATGCTCTCGCGGTTCGTATGTTTTGTGCGACCACGCATCCGTCCAACAAAGACCCAGCTCGAAGCAAAAACAAAGACAGCTTTGACCACGCGGGTGCAGATCACAGCCCAGTTCTAGTTGCGGACCAACAAGTTACTGCTGCGCCAATCGGTGACACAACGAACATTTTGATAATGAACACGTCAGCGACGGTCGACATTGTAAACCCCATGACAGGGGTGAGGCATAACGAAGTAAAGGCCGCTATGTCACCGGCCGTTCTTCAGCAATTTCGTCTGACAAAGAAATCGAGCGTAGCATTATATTGCTTATGTGACGCCTGGAACTCAAAGGCTCGAAACAAATCGAAGGTGGCAACCGTTAAATTTAGACGTAAGTTGCTTATTTTTCACGTGTTTTATAAAGATATTGATCAATACTTTTAATTTGCGTAGTTGTTATTTTATAGCATTTGTTCCAAGGGACACCTCAAGACAAACAAGAAAAAATTGAACATATCTCAGTAGCCTTTTATTCCTAATCTAACTATACCAATTGGAACACTAATGGAGTTATAGGATTTAAGGCCTTTAGCTCGTATATTGGTCGCTCGTATGTTAGTGATGTCATTTGCGAGTGATTTGTTGATCAAACGTACTTAAAGATACTTTTATATAATACGTCTACCTATATGTGTGGGTTATCGGACGCAGATACATATATATACACATACTGCACAAAATATCTCAGGGAGAGGGAGTGAGCAGGTGGATAATCGAGCCCATAGTCATGGAAAAGGCGTAGGGTAAGAAATAATCAGCATTGAGGACGTCGTTCCCATCAGTAGGGCGGTAGGTAGAAAAATGCAACTGAGAAAAAAGATGAGATTGGCCGACTGGCTGCGGAGTGCTATAGGTTGTTGTGCCACGCCTTCGTAAAATAGCGGGATCGCTAAAACGGCGGAATAGCAAATGCATATAAAAGCGAGTGATTGAGTTAGAAGATTGCCTGATAATGTTGGTGAAAATGATTACGTACTTACCCATCTTATCACCACGAATGAGTCGGCTTAAATATGGCGGAAGGCAGTGATCTTGATTGTCGACTTCGAGTTTATCATGTAATCACAGATGCTGCTCGCTAGAGTAATGTACCGACAACGGTGATGTAACAGAAATAACAATGGCAGCGTAATTTAAAACGAACAGAAGAAGTGGGCCTTATTAGAGAAATTGACAAAAAAATTATACCAAAGCGTTACTTATCATGATACTGTTGGTCTCGATGAAATATTTCCGGTACGACTCTATATCATCCTCATTTTCGTAAATTAGCTTCTGACTAAAAATATTTCGTTTGCAAATTCTTCTTCACACGCGCATAGCCGTACAGTATGTATTATTAATAAAGTAAGGTTTAATTGCTCTCTGAGAGGGCTAAAAGGCATTATTTTGTAAAATGGCGAAAAAAAAATTTGTAAAATTGGGTTGACCAAGTGGCCGAACAGGTACAAAGAATCCTTTTAATGAATTTACCGAGGAGATTATCCTGTGCAAGCACTAATGTGTGGTTTATGAGGCAACCTCAGCAGCCCTGTTTTTGGCACTACGAAACTGCGGATTTTAATTCTGTTGGATGGCCGTATGTCCTATCATGTAATTTTATACGTTAAAAACAATTTTCTTTACGTTAATTTCTTTTAAAAACATCGCTTAAAATATTCACATGGTCCTGTTTTCTCGTAAGCAGCCGTGTTCCCTGTGAAAAGGTACCTAATTTTCGTCCGTTTTATGTCTTACCCGGATAAACTAAACATTTATGGTTCGTTATACACAAGGTCATCTCAAAATAAATTATTATTTTCGTATACGATGTCCTATTTATCGAGATGTTTGTCTATATTCTTCGCTAAATCAACTATACAACAATAATACACTCATTCTGATACTAAATAGTTTTAAGAATGATCGACACTAGTAAAATCCATCTCGACTCATAGACTCAAAGGTAAGTGATAATTTGAAAACGCATCTTCATCATACAATTACGTTGGCGTATTAAGAACTCGTACCTTATCGACATTTGTTGGGCTATTTTTATATTTCAGCTGCTGTTGAAAAAAAGGCCGACAAAAGCCTACGACGAGTAGTCCCCTTAGGAGAAAAGGTACTGCTCGAATGTCCTCTCGGCTTCAATGGAAATACTAATGACAACCGCGCTGTGTTTTGGCTTTGGAACGATGCCGAAATAATGCTCAACGACAACGTCGAGGTCGATGCTAAGAAGGGTAGTTTATTAATTCTCAAGGTAGGTCTTGCCAACGAAGGAAGCTATACGTGCGGTGTCCGCGGCAGCGGTGGTGGCAAGGATCACGTGTCTGCCCGACTTGGCGAAACGGTTATCATTGACGTCCGCGGTAAGTGTCAGTATTTTACTGTGATTTACGAATATGCGCGCCAAAAAGTGTTATGTACGCAGGTTATTATTAGGAAAATTTCACTGAGGTCAGAAGTCTCTGAAGAATACATTTTATACAGTTTAGGTTCGAATTGGCCTAATCACAGTTACCCTCCACTAAGGCTGTGTAATTCTCCAGATGATCTACTTCTCACATCTGTAAATCGTGATATGTACCTGTTTATTATTGAACCAATGCGATCTTATTAATGCTAGAGAAACTGACACCATGCTATCGTTTAGTAGAGTAGAAATGAATTTATTTTTTGGTTTTTTTTTCGACAAAACCCTTTTATTTTTTTTTTATTAGACAACGGTTCATATTGTAATGTATGTTATTGATCTAGTAACTGATTGTTCAACAAAATGATTGTTTCCGCTATAATAGGGAGGAACAAGCCTGTACGGCCTAGGTTACGATATCACACACGAACTAAGCGGCCGGATTTTTCTATTTTGTAACCGTTATTACAGCTGATGGTCAGTGGTCATCTTGGGGTGCGTGGAGCGAATGTACGGCGCGATGCGGACGAGGGCATCGTACTCGAACCCGATCATGCACCAATCCTCCTGCACGCAATGGTGGTAGAGAATGTCCTGGCGACTATATGCATCGTAGCGACTGTCACGCTCGAAAGAATTGTCCTTCTGACAAGGAAAATGTCGATATCCATTCCGTCCCACAATGGAGTGCATGGAGTGATTGGTCAGTTTGTGGGCACGATTGCAAACAACACAGACAGCGTTGGTGCAGAAGTGGTAGCAGACTTGAATTGAGCGAACAACAACAGCAGCTGGAACAATACGAAAGTAGTAAATTAAGTGGACATCATCTGAGTGGCAGTCACCTCCAGCGTCAAGCAGGCGCTAACGTTTATGCCTGCCCAGGGCAGGATCACATGTCGACGAATTGCACAGGAGGAAAGTGCCCGCTAGACTTCAATAATAGCTTTCCTCCGTTAATACCACAGAACGGTGTCGACAATTTACTTAACAATAACAATCATTATCTACAAGATCAACAACTGTCACCGACGCATGAACACGGTAAACAACTAAAATCAAACTTCATAATAATTGCGTGAAACGTAATCGTTAGTTTAATCGATTTAGTATATAAGGTAATGCAGACAAAACTAGGACATTAGGAAACGCTCATACTGAAAGGCCAATACAGCGAACGGTTTACTGATCCTTTGACTGACGACAAACAATTACCACCATTTGTAACTTCTAGCTGTTCATAAAAATCTTTAGAAAAAATTCAGCTAGTAAATAAGAAAAATAAATATCTAATCCATCAAATATATCGTATAAAACATCGCTAGATTTATGACTAGATAAATCTTTTTCGCTATATCTAAATCTCGCTAAATATTTTTCGCTTTTTCGCAGCCCTTTATTGGCGGAATTGGTTCGACCTGAAACTTTGACATTACTTTTAATAATGGCAACGATGCTCAACTAGAAACTATGGCTTTAGCCTATAGCAAAACTATAACATTGCAGTAAGCTTTGCTTGGTTAAGCGCTATGTAACTATCTTATTCTGTTATTAACTTTTGTTTTAGGTTTTGTCGTTGCTAATTTTGGCAGTGTTCAGGCAGTCGTACTGGTTATTGGAATGGCACTTGCAGCTGTCATTCTTGCATTCACATTTCTTATTGCCTTGCGTTTTTGGCCTCGCGATGTCGTGGGTTCTGGGGATAAACGACAACCTCCCTTACCACTGCGTATGACTTATACCACAATACCTGTTTCAGGTGAGTTACTCGTTCAATAATATAACATAATCATTTTTTCTCTGCCTTTTTGAACATTGAAAACGTAAACGGCACCATCTAATTGAGAGCTCCCTTCACATTATTGAGAACAAACCATATTTTAAATTGTGTCACCTTCTACTCGTCTAACACTCTAAAATATATGGTCTCTCGAAGATTAAGTTTCGAAATAAATATTTCAGGGCTATCTAGCGTCCCCTCCGATGTGACAGCTAGCCTGGACCGGGATCCTCGTTTGCACGAATTCTTCACCGAAAGGCGGTTAGATTCTGGAGTTTCAGTACCACTTCTTCAGCAAGCGTATACAACGCCTAACAATGGTAATATACCGATGATGCCCTCTCAAACACGAGCGAACTTTTTCAATCTTTCGGGGACCCCGAGTTCCACTGGAAAGACACACAGAAGTGATTCAGAATCTCAACAGAGCGGACACCCATGTTCCGATTATGGAACACCCGGTTCAACCTCGGAGTATGACCTCATATATGATACGATTCCCGATGAAATAACTGAAAACGCCAGCTCAACTGGGGCTGGATCTGTTAGGGATCAACCATGCGGTGAGAATTTTCTGCCCTTAAAGTCAGCTAAAGAGCATCAGATCTCGTGGATGACAGTCGGACCAGAAGGGGGCCGCCTCGGTTTAGAAAGACTCGGAATATGGCTTACTGTGCCCCCTAATGCTATACGCCATGGTCGGTGGGATATCTACGTGGCTGTTTTGGACGAAGCTGAACTTGACTTGTCCATGAAACTTCGTGAAGATCAATGTGTTCTTAGCGCAGTCATTCAGTGCGGCCCTTCCGACGTCCCTTTAGTGAGGCCCTTGATACTTTCGTTTGACCAATGCGCACACGCTTTCGCCGAAAAATGGACTTTATATTTACTCGGTGCTGACGAAGGAACAGATGCTCACAAACAGCCCATCTGGAGAAAAAGGGTGTCCTTGGACTCACCGGAGGAACACGGTGATATCCTGTGCCATAAAGATGGCCGTATTTGCCATGTTCAAACCGACCAGCTTGGCCGATTCGTACTTTGTGGTGAGTCTAAAGTCGGATCCTATGCTGCCAAATCCATGGTTTTACTAACGTTCCTCACAAAGCGACGAGGTCTTTCGCAGGCTGAACGAACCCTTAAAGTGTATTGCGCCGAGGATACGAAAGCGGCAACCGAAGCCATTCTTCGATTAGAGCAAGAAGATTCTACGCTCGTCGAAACTCCCAAATCAATCCTTTTGCATGACGGAGGAGCGAATCTATGTTGCGCACTAGAAGAGCTTTCTTTGCCGCAAAACTGGACCTTGAAATCGTTTAGCCTACAGGAGATACCCTTTTCACGAGTCTGGAAGTCGAGCGTGGGAGTGCACTGCTCATTTTCGCTGCTCAGTTCATCATTATCTGCGCGTGAAGCACCTCTCGAATGTCGAGTCACCGTGTATCAGAGAGGCAACCAGTCGTATCGACAGATGCTTAGCATCAGTTCCTCTACCGTGTCTCCTGTTTACAAAAATTTGGCTCCACAGAGCGTAGAGTGTGTGGCAACCAACGGGAGTCGAGGATCACCTGTTATTCAACAGCCGGTAGAAGGCATCCGTCTGACGCCAGAGGCGCGAGGTCGATTGTGCGCGTTGTTAGACGCTCCCACTAGTGATGGTCCTGGCGACTGGGCGAAACTAGCCGTACGCCTTGGACTAGAACGGTTAGTACTGAGATTGAAAATTGATCTTCAAACATAAACTGAATACTACAAGTATCTGGACAAAAATATTTATATACGTGTAAACAAAAGTTCACACATATTTATCTTTTTTTCAGAAATATGGGTTATTTTGCATTGAAGGCGAGTCCTACGGCTTGTCTATTGGACTTATGGGAGGCTCATCATCGTGAAGACAGTGCCCCCACGAGTTTACTAACACTTCTGAGGAACATAGGCCGACCTGATGCAGTAACTGCTATAGAGAAGCTTCTTGGAGCCTGGGTCTGAGTCAGCGAAAACCAATTGATAACGATATTGCAATTAGTGGCATATTGAAAGTACTCTTTTCAATTCGCGAAAAATAATTCAGAGGGTAAGATTTTTACCTTAAAAATGGCTGACAAGCGTGTGTTCTGAAGCTTGTTTTGAGTCAAACCTTACGGTCTGCATGAACACAGACACGAATGTCAAACTTACCTATGAAGTCGTCTACAACAAATGGAAGCAATATACTCGTTTGATTCTATGCGATATAACACAGACGAACGACACAAAACAGAGCCCATACATGTACTACATGGGCTGACATTTTGTATAGTCTACTATAGATCAATGTTACGATTTTATTTTGAATAGCAGAATATACATATGAAATTACCGTCGGAACACGCGATCTGTTATGAGTGTTTATCTATGCTGACAGAACATTGTAGATACAATATATGGCTGCGGAACGTACGCGATATACCTCATTTCTGTAAAGCAGAACGAGTTAGGCAAAAGAGAATGAAAGGAATGGTGCTTGCGAAGTTACTTGCAATTTTGTGGTAATGCACGAGCAGAGAAATGTATTTAAAACATAAAAGTTAAGATCCTTTCATGGGTGTTGATATAGTGAAATTATATTGAGCGATATCATTATTACATAGACAAGGAAGAACTCATTTGTATGAATGGTGTACATATGTACATAAGAAAGAGCAAGTCTGTACAGGTAAGATAATGTGGGCTTATACCCATATAACAGATACATGTACTAATAAGAATGACGCATATTAATTTCGTCAGATCGTTTTAAATGTATTCCATTTTAGGTAGGGTACAAGCTAACGTAGCTTGACTAGAATATTTATTGTCTTTTTTAAGATTAAAGATCTTTAAATAAGCAGAAATTGCAATTTGAGAGAAGATGCTAAGCTTGCTCTGGAAATCGCCTTAGATATACCAAGATATTGAGTATAACACTTCAGTTTGACCAACTGAACCTTGAACAGCTCCAACGGAGTGGAAGCTCGTCCATTAACTACTGTCTAGATATGAATCTCAATATTAAAAAACAAAAGCAGAAACTAAGTAAATCTGCACAGGTCCTACAGCATCTCTTCCAGATTTTCGAAACGTACAAAGCCTATGTGACTTGACGAACACGCTCAGACTTGGAGGCTTTCGTACAGAGGGCAACACGAGATTGCATTGGTGTCACCGTAAAAAGTGCTCGACACAACGGCAACAGTAACTCTAATGCCAAATTAAACTAGAGATGATAATAGCAGAAGTTTCTTAATGAAACCACAAGTACGAAAGCGCTTCAATTTGTATATGCCGTATCGTTGGAAAGCTTTAAGCTTATAAGTCTTCCGTGCACTCAACCAACTCAATCTAGATAATCGCCGTGATGTCCTCAGCTGCATTTGGCACAAACCCTGTGTTGTGGCAATTGATATGGCTTCCCCGAAAAAATGGCGCATTCCCCCAAATTACCTGTTATAGCCAAAGTGATACAAGACTACCTAATCTGGCAAATAACTATTCAGGACGCCACCCCCGCTCGGACTCTCACACCCTGCAGCAAGGTGAAAAATTCAGCCAGAACGATTCATGTGATTGAGACTGAGAGAAGGCGCATTTAGTGAAAAGGATGCAGGATTAATATTCAGATGCTTAAGTTGGGATCTATATAAGCAGACCTTTTTTGGTGGTTTAGGGCGCGCTCTAACCATTCTGTTGGCGAAAAAGGACACCCGTTTCGCTCGGCTGTGTATAGAGTAAATGCAAGCACCTTTTCTGTATACTGTGTCAATTCCAATGAGCTCTGTTACCGTGTAAGGGAGACAAAAGTATAAAGTTCTGCCACTTAGTGATATCGGGCGATGGTTTTGTATGAAGATGGGACCAGTGACATTACGGGCCTGCTGCAAAGTCCGGAAAGCAACGATCACAATCCGAGCCAAACTGAGAACCACAAGGACGACTTCCCTATTGAAGAGCTAGTACGGCTCGTACGGGCTACTCCGTTCCTGTACGACAAGAGGCGTCGGTCGAACAGAAACACGCAGCTGAAAGAGGCGCGTTGGGCTGAAATCGGTGGATACTTCAGGATGACTGGTGCTGAAGTGAGCCGAAAATGGACCAGTGTTCGTGATAGATACAAACGACTGTTCAACAGAGTGATGCAGCAATTGCAACGGGGAGTGTTTTACCGTCCCATTTGGAAACTCTACTACGTTCTTGATACTATGCTGTTTCATGAAGGATTACATGAAGGAGTTTGACATCGCCTCTATTCTCTACAGGCCTGAAAACACTCTCGCTGCGAACAGCCTGTCCAGAGGTCAACGGCGCCTCCGCTTTAGCCTTTAGCGTACCAAAAAGGGAAATCTTTGCTGACGTAGAAAACCTCCCGAGCAACCGGTCATGCGACTCTTCCGACACATTGCACCGATCTCTGCTGATGAAGACCCTGTGAACGGACTCGTGAACTTAATGAAAAAAAACATAAGAGGCTTGAACGCCGATAAACGCCAGCTGGCCATAAGTCGAATCGTTCAGACATTTTATGGCATGGAGATTGACTGCCTGATTAAAGAACTGAACAGTCATGTCGATAATTAAACATTTTCATGTGCTGGGTAAGCTAAGAAGCATAAAATGGAACCACAGTAGAGTATTTATCTGTACATATCTAGTCTATAGCCCAGTACTACAAACGTATGACTATAACTTACAAGTATTCTGATGTATTGTAGATAACGAACCAGTTTGATGTTGAATAAATAAGCCCAAGAAACTCCTTCAATTATGGTCATTTTAAGATATATAGCATAAACCTATTTATTAACCTACTATGAGAATAAAGCGTAATATTTTCAATCAATTTATTATGGAACGTCTGCTATAGATGGCTTCTAGTGAAAAGCGGATCGCTTAGCAGTGCTTCTTGCTCGTCGCAAAGCTCTAGCATTAAACCCAGAAAGCCCCTGGCTAGGGCTTAGCAGGTAGAGATCGCTGAAGGAGACATAACTACCCTCTGGCCGCAAGTGCTTGGTTGAGTTTTCTGTACTCTGTGGAACAATGATTGGACAGTTGGCGTTACTGCTAAGAAGGATTTCCGCGAACCTGCGGCGTGTTTATAGATGAAACGCGGCGGCATAAAGTCATGTCGAGATGGTCTAAAATGGGGGATTAATGAGACGTTCAATGGAAGATAACCTTAAACTGAAAAAGAACAGACACCTTGAATTAGTTGCAGGAAATGTCTGACTGCCTTGAGGCTTGTCAATGTTTCTTTAGACGAAGAAGTTAATCTTTATGTTTTATTGCAAGGAAAAAAACTTTACAACTTTAGTGCTGTTTTTTCTTCTTAAAATATTCCTCTTGCTAGGATTGGATTGGAGACGACACTTCAGATGGAGTATTATAGAAATTGAAAGTAGTCAATAGAGGCCCGATTGAAGCGTTATTTTATGTGGGTAATCAAGCTCGTACATTCAGTTCTGATAACGCTTTTTTCCTGGTACAACACACTTACAACGTTTCGCTGAAACGGTCGAGTTTTCCTATGAAGCTATTACCTCAAATATAAACAACGTACATCATTTATTAGTCAGAACTTTTCGATGACTGAAAAGGACAGCTATCGCGCCTCAACTTGATCTCGATTAATAGAGAACTTTTCCAAAAGGAAAATTTGAAGGAACCACTTCACAGACATAAGGCTATGCAATATAGACAGCTCAATGGAACAATAGTCATTAGGCAATAATAATAATAGACTAACAATTACGTTCTATCTAAACATCTGTTTCGTTTCTTTTAGGATATGTTCAGTCCAATGTACTAATGTTCGTCGTGGTGATGATAAAATTTTTAATTTGTCTATGTACCAGCCTAAAATAGAAATAACAACATACTTTATTGACGATTCGGCAGGAGCAACATATGTTATGATAATAAATGCACTAAGTATAGTTTTTCTATATGAATCGCCTTAAAGGTGCTCCTTTTTCATCAGTAGGCTTTCCTCGGCCCTCGGACGAGAGCGGGCCATCGTTTCCAGCTTTTAGAATTCCTAGAACATTGCTACCAAGGGCATTTTAAGTGTGCGCGCTTGACTTCGTAGCCATTCGCTGTGGTAGCATTTTGACATTTGTGTCTGCATTTTCAATAAAGTGGGTGTTACTGTTTTGCTTCAGAATCTTCCCTTCTACTCAGTGACAAATTTTGCCGTGTAGAAGTTCTTTCTCCTCATAACAAGGATCTTCGCAAAGATGCTTTTTCAAGTTAAAACACGCGAATCGTGTCAAATTCGCTCATGGTACTAGCCGCACTACTATCTCAACCATTACCTAAACATAGCATTTTGACGTCCATTTTTAATGTTATCATTATAAATGTCGGCGATGTACAGTTATCAAATTATTATTATTAAATTTTTCCGGTTACTGGAATAGCACTTGTATCCCTCCTAGCTTCGCAGTCCTTACAGCTTCGCAATTCTGGCTACGCGAAGTTACGGAACTTGCGAATAAGCGACAACCCCACCTACCACTACTTACGGGTAACGTGGGCCGTAATTTTCGTTTGTATGAATTCCCGACTGAAAGACAATATTAATTGTGTTACTACTGTAACGATTCTTCGTCAGGTCCATACGGCCTCTAATAGTTGCACTATACTCCCAGCGCTCTTTCAAGCACGGGCGAGCTTTTATAAGCTTTCGCGAACATTAAGTTTTATGGAAAATACACAATGAAGCAAGCCATAGTTTCAAGAAAGCGGACATCCCTGTTCTGATTATGGCTCGGCATCCAAATACGACCCTCACTCAGCTTAAAACGTCTCGGAATAAGGCTTATCGTTAGAGAATAAATACTATACCTCTATAGTCGGTGGGAAATCTATGTTACTGTCCTAGAGTTCCGAACGCCAGCTGTCTCTAGAGTTGCGTAAAAATTAGCATATCGTTAGCTCAGTCGTGCAAGGCTACCTTTCGTCCTTACAATTATCGTGGTAATCCCTTTCCAGCAATAAGCAAAAGAGAGCTATCTGAGCACTGTTCGTCTATGAGAAACAGAGAAATGCGGGAAACTAAGGAAAAGCACAAAACAAGAACAGGTTTGCTGTCCATTAGATTATATGACAAAAGTGTGAAAAAAAAAAAACATGATTGCGTGTTGCCCAGCTTCAAGAATAACATATTATTTGCAAGAAAGAATACATTACTTAAACGCTCGTTTTTTGTTCCTTCGGTCGTGTATCAGTTCATTCTATTCATGAAAAAAAAAAACTATGCCTAAGCGGTTAACGCGGTTAATAAATTAAAGTTAAATTAAATAGTGTTTACCTGTACTAATATGTCATTCCTTCTTTATACGATCATTGCTGTTTACAATAGGTCTTTCTGCAAGCCGCGGCCTAAGGCCAGGGAATTCGCGCACATTCGATACGTAATTAAATAGCCTCATTAGGTATGATGTCCAGTGTTTTCGAACTCAATTACGACAAATCGGTAGAAAAAAATATCAATTTCTTTGAGACCCGCTGCTCGTTACTTGGCGAGGTAGTCACTGAACTCAGAATAGTCAAAAACGAGCACCCAAAGTCTGAGTCTAGATGCATTTCATAAAAGACAGAAATGGAAGTGTATTAGATCTGTGCCCCTCGTTGGACCCTTATTTAACAATGAATTGAGGTTTGAAGGTTTAAAGGCTCGACATTTATGTGCATACAATGAGCGAGATTCTTTACATTAGACGTAGTTTAGTTGTTTTACAGGATTACGAATCGTAAACCAAATTTTTACCGGTTGTGTTTATCTTATCTTATGTTTATCTCGTCTATTAAAAAAGCTTACATCATTCGACTGGCCTTTCAATCTTGAACTGAAAATATTTTCATACTTTTCGTCAAACTGTTCAGGGTTTTTGGTATTTCAGCGTATGTTTGCCCGTCATTATCTTAAATTTTTACTTAAAAAAAGGTTGAAAAAATAATGCCGCAAAATATTTCGGTATGCATTTTTATTGGCTTTAAATTGAGCCTGGAGAAAATATCGAATGGAACTGAATTGAAGTTTTTAGGTTGAATATACTTTAAAATTATTATTATCACCTATAAGCTAGAAAACCTAAACAAAACGTTGCGAACAAACCGAACAGTATTGACCTGAAATAATTACGTGGAAACTTTCTTGCTTAAGATTGGAAATTTAATGATATAGGTTTTGAACCTTCTTCCCATAATCAAAATATATGTGTGAATATAAAAAGTAAAAGCCAACCTAAAAAAATATCTTCTTAGACATTTAGCCCTAAATTTCCTGGATCTGGAGATACATTATAAAACCGACTTGAAAATTATCGTGTTTGAAATTAATTAGAACTTGTAGACGTATTCGTACTTTAAAAAGTATTCACCTACTTACTCTATTCATCACATAGAACTATTGAATGACAATTATACAGCCAATAAAACGATTTGCGAAGTTCTACTTTTGAAGAGATTTGTTTGGGAATCCAAATTTCAAGTATCGAAAAAGCTTCCTTATTGATCAGTTCTCCCAAGCCTGTCTTGTACATAACACTCCGTTTAGAGGGGGTTGTTTTGGTTTGAAACTAAAACTGAAACTCATTTGTGCGTATCGATATCTTAAAAACCGATATTTTAATAATCAAATTAGAACGACCAGAAGATCATACACGAACCATAAAAATATAGACAGCTATGCAGTTGTAAGATATTTCTCATAATATTAATGCATAAATGTATCTAAACATGGTTGTAGATTATTACTGCTCAATTTACAATGCCAGACAATAATTATTTACGATATCTTTTTATTTTTTCTGGATTATCCCATAGGCATCATCAGAAGCTATTCAGTAGCGGGCGTAAGCGTACAGAAGCTTTTTAAACACCAAGAAATATCGGCAGTACCAATCCTGTTTGAACATGGTGTGGACAGACAAATAAGCGATGAAATATATTATCAAGAATAATTAGCGTGTTTTGCTATAGCTGATAAAGATTGACCTCGCCCTTCAAAGCGAAAGTGGTAAGTGAGTAGGAGAGACCGAACGAAGATGTCAATGATACGCTCGTTACGCGGGCAACGGGCTCAGCTAAACACCAACGTTGGGTTGGCCGTTACCAATGAAAACACACAAGCAATACTAGAAATTGCATACAGAGAGCTACCACTCTCCGGGGTTCCTGTTCCAGGAAAATGTTTCGGAAGTTCGTGCAACTACCCAGAAAGCGTTAAAAGAATGACTGCAGCTAGAGTTTCGAATAATTGATGGATCGTGGTATTTTGCATTAATGAAAAATACCCGTTGGCTTGAATCTCTAGCCTTAAACGACCAGTTATTGTAACCGCTTTCTCTCCGATGTGCTGCCGGGACGGAATTCGCGATAATAAGTAGTTCTAGTTGAGTTCAGTACAACATTCTTAAATCAACGAACCAATATTCGATTACGCAGCTTATCTGTGTGCATCAGTACTATTATCTGTTCGGTACAAAGGTCGTATGATTATAACAACAGAATTAAATCTTAAAGATTGCCGAGTAAACTTGTTTTTGTGATTTCTAATAGCGATAATAAGGTAGTGCCGTGATGTTGATGCTATTCGGAGTGGATGCGATTGTATAGGAACGGATGCAAGCATTGAATTTGAAATTCTCCGCTTAGAAGTTTGCCGATACAGCAGGCCGGTGCCCGAGCACCTAGCGCCCTCGGTGTGTAGTCCCAACATCGCTTGTGATTTAGGTGGCGGTCATCATTATCAATGTGTAGGAGATCCGCATTTTTTGTCGATCTGTTCTTCACATCGGCCCCAGCAATAGTAGTCCAAGTCACGATCCACAATTGCCCCTCGGTCACTGCTGTTTTGTGAGGCTACTGCCCATAGCGCCAGTGAGACACCGGGGCATAACCGCCACCGACAGGCACCTACCACTACTGAACCGGACCGCCGTAAGGACCACAGCCGCAAGAAAGGCCTGCAACAGGACAAGTACCACCGGTCACAGTCACAGCGGCAGCAACAGTAGACGCGGATCGACAGACAGAATGACAGGCGCCGTGCACCAAATTCCAGACTCTGTTAAAATGCTTATTTCGATGGTAGAACATGTATGTATGCCTACGTGTCTCCACCCATGTGTTGATAAATATTTCATTTGTTATATTTGTCGAGCTGTAAACACATGACTACAGTGCATCTTTATGTATAACATGTTGCTATTCGCGGCTATTATCACTATTATTATTGTTACTATGATTACCTAGCGGAGTAGGGCATGTTAAGAATTAATAGTCTGAGCGCAAATACCTCAGTGGAAGTTGGGTTTTGTCGAAACAGCAGATAGCCGTTGGTCGGCATAGTGAATTAGACGACGAAGCCGGAGGCCGCTGATTCGAAGCCCGTTGGATGTCAAGCACTACAGAGGCCGTTATTGCACACCCCATTGCATACCCCAAAAAAGAATTATATTTTTGTATTATTAAGAGGTCGTAAAATTCACTATTAAGGGACGTAACATGTGTATGCTTGAGCTACGGGTGAGGTTTTGATCTCGTTCGAGAATGGACTGAAACTAATTGTCATTTATAGCTGCGTAACGGAAAATTTGAAATTATAAACAAGCTTCTGATCAGTAGATACATTATATGTTTACCTTTGTTTGCCCAGGAGAACGGCCAAGCACGATACAGATTTCCGTTTGTTGCTAGATGACGTACGTGAATCTTGAGTGTCCAATGAGTAAATGTGTATTACCTCCCTCTTACAATCATATTAACATGACCTAATGACTACGACATGAATTTTCGTTGGGGCCAAAACCACGAAATGTGATATCATTTTGTGACGAATATAGTTTTCGACTGAATTGAACGATTGTGGTTGATTGCAGTTACGCAAGTTATAAAGAGTTACCTGGAAGAAGTTGCCCCTGTTGTGTCCGGTCGCCACTATGCTGTCGAAGCGAAAAGAGAAGAAGATCGGTGATGGCATACAAGGTGTGTATCTGAGTCGTGCTCCAAAAATTCGTTTTGTCACTTCGGTAATAGGTAATAAGATGAATGTAACGAACCTACATTACTATTCCTAAGTTATCCTTAACGCAAACTACACGACAACGAGGACTTCACCCCTCATATGTTTACCCGCATGAAAATCTTTCATTGTCGTGTATATACTAAGAACATTATAGAATGTTTGGAAAGTACCAAACACGGACAAGGGTTTTGGTCATGGTCCATAAGAGTATATTTGAAGTTCACAATTAACCACGCGTTCGGTTCTATTGCCGTTAATGCCACCAAAAAACCGTAATTGTACGAAACTTTTATTAAAAGACAGTTTATTTTTAAGTTTTCATCTCGTTATGTTTCTGTCACGCTAGTACCTGATTGAATATCTGCGGTGATTTGAACGAACTAAAGATTCTACTGTTAGAAGAAGAGCATCTACTGTTTCCTGTTTAAATGAGGACGCTTGGCTTACAATTAACCATCGTTTAGAGCAGCAGTTTCTAGGTTCAGATCAAATAATGGATACAGGACGAAAGTTATTATAAAAGCTACGTGGACCATCTCAAAATTTTATCTCCAGTGCCTGGGCATAGGTCGGCTACATATGTGAACATTCAATTGTTATCTTAGATTCTGATATGTGCAACTGCTGTAAGTATTATTCTAAAATGGAGAAGAACACATTGTAGATTCTGTAGATGTCACTCTCCGCCATAAACGCTATGTATATATAGTATATATATACACATGTATATATATATAGTGTTTATATATATACAGTGTTCCAAAATACACGCGAAACACTATGGTGTGGCTAAGTTTACTAAACGTTAACTTCACTAGGTAATTTCACTCAGTATAAATAGTTTCATACTATGAATAGGTATAATCTAACCTTCAAAAAGTCGCCAAGGACCACGGTGCTACTACTAGCTACATCTTAGTCAATAAGCATTAGCTAGTCGTCCATTGGTTTTCCAATAAAGTTTATACTTTCTCAATTAACAATGAGGCTATACATTGTTATGTACTTCAGGTAAGTATGTGAAGAAGGAGACTCCACCAAACCTCACTGTAGTAAACACATGGTCAGCTGGTGTCAAAAGTGGAGGTTCGAGTGGAAGCGGCGCTGGCAAGAAAAGCTCTGGAAGGGGTGGAGGTGGCCTTACCGTGGGATGTTCAGGGGGTGTAAGGGAGTGTGCCTCGCTTCTATCACTTGATGAGGCACGCAACGGTTCAAATCAAGTTGCGGCAACTTCCCTTGCTGAAAAATGCGCACGGGCAAAGGCGCAGGCTCAGGTAAGTTGTAATAATGATACAAATTTTCATATTAAAGCGTAGTGATAACTATACTTTTAGGTGTATTCAGTTTTCGTCTGAAGGGTCAATAGAATAAATCGTCTGATAAATGAAAGCATATTGGTCTAATTGTTGTTATATCAGAATAATAAGCGATTAGCTCGACTGATGTGTGTTCGCCTAGTTTAATGTGAATATATTATTAAAACCGTCAGGCTTCAGGAAGTGGAAGTGGTGGAGGAGGTTGTAGCCCCCTACCACCAGCTGGAGCTCTCTCCCGAGGGCCAGTCCGCAGTTGGCCCCATCTACAGTTTGCCGACCCTCTTGCCAAGCTGCCACAACAAACGATTCTTTTGATGCCATCGCAGGTCAGTAATTAATTACCCGTACCTACACTATTGCATTATGTGTAATGCAATAGTTAATGTACAATGTGTAATGAAAATGTTACACGTTTATTCATTCAATACATGTATACGCCCTGTACAAGGACGCGCTTGTAACTGTTCTGACAAAAATTGTTTTAAATCAGTGCTTCAGGTGCCAGTGCGAAACGTATAGAGCTCAAGGTTGCAACAAATTCAATAAATTACGGCAACTTGTATGAAACTGATGGTTGGGCTTACTATGTAAAACATAACGCACCCAGTGTACCTATGGCGGGTCACATAAGAAACACTTGTGATACGCTTGGCTTTGATCTTACGTACTGAAACACTGTTGACTTTAGATGTAAAATTTTCACTGCATGGGTTATAATGGGCTACAACTTATTGGCATTGCGCCACTTCTGACCGTATACATTTCAGGGAAGCTGTGTCGATTATGCCAATTTTGAACAGCTCCGGCGCGAGCAGCTCGCTGTATCAGGAGCTTCGCCTAAAATGCCACAGGTGGAAACGATCTACCTAAATCACTTGAGTTCACCTAATTCAGTCGTTCAGCAGACCAGCTCGGCCCCGAATGCTACCTCCGCGAATACACCAGCGACCGTCGGCGCCTCTGCTTCCTCTATGGCTTCTTCAATTGTGTCATCGTCGTCATTGACAAACAGCGCAAGCTCTATTACTTCTAACCTCAGTTCAGCCCCAAGCTCAATAAATCATCTAAGCTCGTCGCAGCAGGTTTGGTTGACATGACCTTAGCCGAAGATTTTATTATTGATATTTATGCATTATAGACATATTTCAAACCTTTACCTTTCATGGTGGTACATAAGTGCTTAAATTGGTATTCGATGGCTTTGTAGGTCTTTGATGGGAGACCACTTTATAGGTCCGCGATGTTTTTGTTATGCATAGGAAGTTAAGAAACTTTAATATATTCAAGTGTTTTTTCGTTTGGCAGCTGGATCCAGTCACCCAGGAACCAATCTATCAGAATGATCCGAAGTTCCATCAGTTCCATGGATTGGGAGGATCTCGAGTTACCTTGATGCCTCCACATGATCATCTCGGATCTAATGCTAGGTAAGCTTCCTCCTGTGCATGTTGTGGTAAGAAAAAGTCTCATCTTATGTTTTTCCTGTACAAACCTCCCGTAAAACTGCTCTTCTGTGCTGTTTTTTCTGTTGCTTCCCTAGCATCTACTCTCGTCCTGAAGATGAAGACATGTGTGGTGTGTATGGATCGAGTCTTCAGCCGGGTGTGACAACTCTGTTGCACCATCGACCGTCAGTTGGTTCAACGACTGCTGGACAATCGACAGTATATAGCGGGCCCAGTTCGCCTTATTTTGATGATAACAAAAAACAGCTCTATATTACACAGCATCACCACAACAGTAGCCAGCAGCAGTTGCATCAACAGCAGGTACTTAGATCGTAGCGTTGAACTGGTTTCTGTTAGCGAGCACACATCTCAGATTGCTCTTTACTGAATGCACGTAGTGAGAAGCACTTCTACTTTCTCATTGCACGCTATTCAATGAACTCGCTTCTTTGTGTGAACAGGAGACAGTTACGGCTTATCCCAACTGCGAAGAACTGCCTTTACCTCCGGGATGGTCGGTAGACCTTACAATGCGTGGCAGAAAGTACTATGTCGATCACAATACAAAAACGACGCATTGGAATCATCCATTAGAAAAAGAGGGACTTCCAACCGGATGGGAGCGAATCGAACATCCTGAATTTGGTAAAATGATGAAGGGCTTGTTACGATATTATGTTCGTTAAGAATATGTGTATTCATAAATATATATATATACATATATATAATAGAGCCTTCATACTTTATTAAACGTGGCTCCTGCAAATTACAGGCGCGTACTATGTGAATCACATCAGTCGACAGTCGCAGTACGAACACCCATGTCTAACGCATTATGGACCTTTGGCTTTGCCTGCACCTGGAGGCGGTCCTGCTGGAAAGGGCAGCGGTTCTGCCCTACCCTTACCACCAGTTCCTCCGGTTCATCACGATTTTCATCAACACAACGTACTCGTACCACCAAACCCTTACCTCGCTGAGGAAATACCTCATTGGCTTCTTGTATGTATGCAGTGTATCAGCAAGTAGTATCTAAAGCCCGACTACGGAATGCTCTTGCTGCTATAATTCTTAACTTGGATGCTTACAAAGCGTCATTGAGCAAAATGCGGGTTCTCTGTATCACTATATACAATATTGAACTAAAATGCATTATATCTCCATTACATACTTGTTCGGGTAAAAACGTTGAAGAAGCTTGGTAGTAACTTACGAATCCACTGCATGTGTACGACTAATATGGTTTTTTTTTCATATTACAGGTATATTCTAGAGCGCCCGCAAAACATGATCATAAGATTAAATGGCTGCTGTTCAAATTGCCCGAACTTGAGTGCTTTCAAGCAATTCTTATACGTCTCTACAAACAAGAGCTTAAAGAGATCGTAATGAGGTAGGTGCCCATAAAAAAAGATGCGAGCAATGTTTTTCAGTGCTATTTGTTTATAGGAACAGGTGCTCGCTTTGCGTTATGTATACATATACATATATATATGCATTTTTATGAACGTTACAGTGGGCAGTGTTTCTTAGAGCCGGCAGGCGTTGATCCATACTCCTGGTAATAAAAGAGAGCCAGTTTATTTTAAAGCAAAAACGCAACCTCTTTGTGGCGGAGCCAGGAGCTTAGTGTTCAAAATATGAACCAGTGGAGAAAAAAAGCATTGAATAAACTTAAACAGATTTTAAATTTATGAATATGATGACTAGCCCTTGGTTCAAAAATGAATGAGTCGTTTGCTCTAGATTAAGATATTTATTCAATCGACCTAATTCGAGTTTTCCTTTTTTAAATAATCCTTGCCAAATGCAATGCATGCCATCGTTTCCTTCAGTCTTCAAAATACATTTCAAATTCAATCGTTGAGATGGCCTTCAACTCAGTCAGCAATTTTTTTATTTTTTCTATCGCGCCGCAGCGTTTTTCCTTTAGGCTTTTCTTTGATTTTGGGAACAGGAAGAAGTCGCAAAGAATTGGTTCTAGTAGATACAAAGGTTAAGGAGTTTTTTTTGCAAAAACTGCTGTACGAGTAAAACATTGTGGGCCGGTGCATTGGGGCGAAGGAAGGCCCAGGATCTGTTGTGCCACAATCCTTGCCTTATGCGTCAGCTAGAGTGCGTGTGCAACCTTTTTTAAATTAATTGTACTCCTTTATGACCCTGGAGTCGGACGACATGATTTCATGATGAAAGATTTTCCAACGGTTGAAATCAACTGTGAAAAGCACTTTAGCTTTCACTCGTTAGCGCTGTCACAGGCCTTCTAAGATGAAAATCGTTCTCGATAGACTCTGGTTAGTCTTCGAGTTGTTTGAACCAGCTGTTTACTTTGTTTTGATCAGCGCTTGCTTTCCGTGGGTATTTTGCGTCATCCACAGAATTTGTAGTTGATTTCATTTTTTACACTTTTGCTTTATTTGGGAAAAATCGCGAAGCGCTCAGTACATACACTTCCTCAATCTCACCAAAAAAATTGAAACTATATCAGATTGCTATGAAATTTCGTTTGTGTGTAGTAGATACTTTGCTCTTTTTGCTACATAAAATGAGGGATATAAGACCATCTAGTAATGCGAAAATTTACTGTTGAACAAGGGGTTATTCCGTTTCTAGCTATTAGGCGGCTTTTGAAAAATTCGACAAAAATTTCTATACGTTTTTATAAGTGATTCACAGGAATTAGGTGGAATAGGTGAAAAGATTATCAAAAGAGGCACAAGAAGCCATTTACAGTGGATGCATTTCTAATTTTTTTTTTCTTTTCTATTTTTTTTATATATATAATTTCTAATTTCTAATAAATTATTCATAAAATAAAATGACTCACTACCTATTGCATTTTTGAGATTTTCGTTTAGGGTCAACCTTGTAAAACTGCTGGATTTTTGTGTGGCGTGTTTGAACTAAGACCAGTCTAAGCGTGGAAATATAGCTCACGCATAATTACCTTTAATGATTTATGGACGGCATAGATCCCGGTTTGAACCATAGTCATAGCGAACTACAGTGGAAAAACACAGTGACAGGCACACGAAACCTTGTTAAAATATCTGTTTTCATTGATTGATTAAGCGATACCAATTTTATTTCAATTCATGCCGAACCCTAGTGTATAAATATTATGATCCCCACCAATATCTGAACCGCCATGACCCCTCCATGCAGATTTGGTGTGTTTGTAAGTTAGAATCTACGTCGTTTTTGTTTTTCCTTCCCTAAACAGATACGAAGCAAAGCGTTCGTTAATTATTCGGGAAATCACCTGTAGGCGCCAGGAGGCACAGCAGGCAGCACAACACCACCATCACCACCTACAGCAGCAGCAGCAGCACCACCATCACCAGCAGCAGTCAATCCATCACCTTCAACAACATCAGCAGCTTCAGCAAGTCGCAGTAGCTGGTCATTATCAACAAGAGCAGCAAGCGCAAGCGCTAGTATCAGCTTCCCACTTTCAGCATCAACACCAAACCCAACAGCAACTCCACTCACACCCACAACAGCAGGCTCAGGTCAGCCTACAGCGACAGCTGCACCACCAGCAACAACAACAGCAAATTATAGTGCACAAAATCCCCATACATATCCAGCAGCCGCACCCAGCAGTGACGCAGCCGCAGGTGGTTTCAGCCCAAATACCTCAATATACTCATAAGCCGTTGCAGCAGCAGCAGCAGCAACATGCGCAGTTATCTACAACGCAACAACAGCAACATCTGTCGTCGTCTACTGTGCCACATCAGCAACCCCAGCAGCAGCAGCAACAACAGCATCATCTTCAACTTCATAATCAACAGCATCCACAACAGGCAAACAGCCATAGTCCTCACCATTTCACACAGCCATCACAGCAGCCAACGACACAACAGTCTACAGCAGCCGCAACGACAGTAGGTCATTATAGCGGTGATAGCAGCTTGTCTCAGCAGCAGCAGCAGCAGCAGCAGTTGCTAGAGCCGACGAACACGAAGTTGTAATTAACTCAGACAGTTTAATAAAACCACTTGAAAGCCTTCCAAAAGCAAGAAATCACTACAAGCTGAGCGAGGAAGCCGAAAGGCCAACAAGATTATAATCGGCAAGGAAGATAGCGGCACAGATACAAAAAGCAAGAAATAGAAAGGTAGTAAGTGAGGGTACGTAGCTTTCAGAGCGATCATGTAAGGCCTGGCTCCTTCCCTTTGTTGACGAATGGTTTCTCGAAATGATAACAATGCTGTTGATAAAAGATTACCATGATTGTGCCATGTACCTGTCTTGACACGTAGGATAGAGAAAATAGAATGAATCCATATAATATATTCACATTTTCGGCTCCAAGATCAAAGATTGTGTGAAATGTATGTTGGTCAAACGTGAAATAGGTCCTCCGTAAAATTTCATGTCAAGTATAACAATATGTATTTATGATGGAACTTGCATCGCAGCAGCAAAACTGGGACAGAAGTAAGTAAGAAAATAAAAAGGACTCACATATATTAGTTCTCAATGTTGTAACATAGCGCTGTGCCACTACGGCCGAGGGAAAATACGAATCATTTCAGTGTAACAGTGTTGCAATTACGTTGGTTATAAATAACCACCTTACACCTTTTAGGCTGGCATATTAGAAATAGCGTCAAAAGTTACCGTATGCGTTGTCACCTTATGCTTGGAATAACTTTAAGGCTAATTCGAAGACAACAACTCAAGCAAAATGTTTATTCCTATTACTTCGAGATTCTGTTGAGCCTTCAACCATCCAATCCAGTTAGTTTACGATGTGAAGCCGCCTGCTGCCTAGATTTTAATTTAAATGCCAGATCAAAGCGTAAGGATTCTGGAAAGCAACATGAGTTGCTGCAGCAAAATTGTTGGAGAGACTGGCATCGAGACTAAGAAGCATCCTCTAACAGCAAAGACTATGTGCAATAGAATATTTGCTCGCATTATTTTTCGGAGTTGTTTGGTGATCAAATTTAGAAGAATATTCCAGTACTCATTAAACAAACGTGTGTGCCTTGATTTTTCTGAAACCGAAGACGCGAAATAATAAAATCGTCCCTTAGTCGTGTCTGAGCTTCAGGTCGCGTTAAACGTAATATATAGACATATATTGTCAATCAAGGTAACAATCCTGATATGACGGGAGCTGTTGAGCGGAATAGAAGCTGACTTATTATTAGCTAAAACGCTGCAACAATCTTACGAAATAATTTTAGTGTGCCAAGAATGCCTCACCACAGTAGTTGACTTCGTCATATGTCGAGGACATGTTGATGACGATTTTCGGTCAAAGTGAAAACAGGGCTCTAAGGAGAACACAGGCGAATTTTAGTTTTTTCGTGAGGGTAGTTTGAAAGAAGCTCGGCCCTATCTGTCCAATTTGATTGTGTCTTCACGAATGGCGTCAAAATTAGACGCACGCTAAGCTTTAAAATAAAGGTTATTAATTGCATTAAGGGCTCTATACGTTGATATCGTGAATAATATCTATTACAGGCGAGGCAGTGAGACATGTGAAGAAAAGTGAGTCCTGCCTGGACATTTTTGGAGTGTGTAATCTTTTGAAACTGGTGAAGTACTTCCCGGTGCCAAAAAAATGACTGATAAAATTGTAATTCACATGCGCATGTGCAACAGATTTATGCAGGATGCGCCTTTTAGCTTTGAAGTGATCTGGCGGTAAAAATACTAATCAGAAAATTTACATGACTATGCTAAAGTGAAATTCCGCCATTAAGACAGTGAGATAGAAAATCAATTGTGAAATGTTGACCCGGAGCTGACGTTACGTTTGAATTATGTTAGCATTTGCCATATAACAAAAAATGTATTTTTAGAATGTCTTGAGTATTCAGCGACACGGTGTAAATAAAATGCTTATTTACTCTGTTTATTATTGCGCATTATGTACTACTATGTAGTTAGAGTTCTATAAATATAGTTATATTGAGTCCAATTAACTAAAAAAAAATTCAATCTTAAATTTAGCCAGGCGTATTCACAGTAGCTCCGGGGACTAAAAAACACGAAGTAGGGCTCATTATTAGCATAATGAAATTTCACAACAATTTTCTAGGTTGTTTCTACAATTTTTCAGGGAGCAGCACCACAAGCAAATGAAAATTCAGTTAAGAACATTCTCATAAACAACTCGAAATAAAGACGATCTTCACAAATGGTAAGAAGCATACTAATAATAAATGTGACTTTTTGCCATACTTGTGAAATTTCAACAAAGATTGATCGGTCGATTGAGATAAAACTATGTATCTAAGACGACATACGCTAATAATAGTAATTCAAACAAAAATAATGAGGACATTTATAGATCATTTTACCATAAACCGGAATGCTATCGAAAGTGTTGCAAATGCGCACTTCCTAGTTAACTAAATGAAATAATACACTTATATTAACAATATAATAACATATTTATTTTTCTAATGTCTATCTAGCACATATACATACACCACCTAATACGAATTGATCCCGTTGGTCTATTTTCGCATAATGTCATTCACAACGGCTTCAAATTTCCTGTAAGACAATTAAGTGTTATTGATTATTTTAAGTCCTAAACAAGTTAATTTCAATTTGAAAGCAATGGGTAACATCTTTTACAAAGATGTTACCCATTGCTTAATATGAATGCTAAAACCTCATCGTGAAGACGATTACATTTAACTGTGAGTTCTATTCGAGTGAGAAATAAAGTCAGAAATACGTTGTCACCGGCCGCTAGCTTCGAGGGATCGCCTAAAGTTTCGCGTTAAGATGTTTAGAGTCTGACACAGTTTTTCAAAGTAATCATACATACTTTGATGAGATTTGTTCGCCGGGAACGTAGAATGGGTTGCAGACGAGTTCGCTATACGCATTGTGAAGACGGCCGAACCAGTTCCGTAGGTCATTATCTCGGAACTGTACAGCAGCACTGAGTTCCACCACGATCACCATCTTCACCTTGGTGTTAGTTACGTAGCCATACAATTTATATTCATCCAACGAATATAGAACGCCTAAGCATAGATCCCGGGCATCGTTCCTAAGAGGAGAACGGTATCCACCAGAATCGAACTTCTGATACTGCTAACACAAAACCGAATTTTGCTGGGGTAATTTCTCAATAATATTGCAAAAAGGGAACTATTTGAGACTTACTTTCCCGGTACCGGAGAATTGATCTTTTCTTCAACAACGTCCAGTGACGTGTGAAGCATGTACATTAATTTGTGAGACAGTTCTGCATCCATCGGGTCAGCCACCGTGCGTAGATAGAGTGGCGAATTCTGCAACGCATGAGAGTAAGTGGAATTGAAAATTTTAATTAGACTCAGCAGCGCAGTGAACATAAGCATAGAGGGGTTTAATAGCTCTAGAATGTAACTACAGAAAAGGATAAGGCTAAAAATATACCTGATGCTATTGTTGAAAACAAATTATACTCGCATATGTAATAAAGGGTTTTTTTATCATGTGGCCAGAACGGGTTCACTACAATTTATTCATTTTTGGAAAAATATCAATGAAAGCCACCTAGCTTTATGAATCAGGAGTGGGGCTATATAAGAAACCAGTCATTTAAAAAATCTTCAAAAAAAGAGGAAACATTATTTTTTTTATAGAACGGGCTATGATTCTGGCAACAAAAATGCTTTATAATCATTTGCTGCAGACTAGGCACATTTGCGAGTTGCATTTGATTCGAAAAATGAGAAAATGGGGCAGTAACAATCCGCGCATTGTTCTTTAAGTCCGACTTTATCGTACTGGGGTTTGTATAATTATTAAAATTGTTATATATGGTTCTGGTATTAATCATTATCCATAGTAAATTCTAACCAACAGTGGTGATTATCCGCTATGAGCTGCATATGTGGACAATATCGTTTTTTTCAAAGGTGCGTCATGGCAACAAAATAGTGAAAATTTCTATCAAAAGTAACATGTGACACATTGTTGCAAGCAGCAATATTATATGTGATACAATGAATATGAACGTATGATGCCCTAATTTAACATACACACACATACGTACTCCTAAGCTGAACTGTATTTTGAGTTCTTCCAATTTCACTGTAAAATTAGCTTGGATGCCATCCGATTTCACCCATGCTTGAAATACAATGGCCTATTCTGCTCCCAGGATGGGCATGTGATATGACCTAATGTACTGGCTCTTAGAGAAATGGCTTTTAACATAGCTTTAAAACTGTAGCTTTGGAAAAAACGAAGCTATGGTAAAAAAGAACTGCTTATTTTACTCCTTTATTGTTACTAAAATTTTAAACCAAGGTCTTTGTTAGAAAAAAGTGGTCCATATAACTTCATCTTCTATATATTTGACAGATTTATTAAGAACACTTAAATTTCCTAGAAGGTAATTCGATCACGGAATTAACTCTGCGCCACAAACATATTTCTTTGAATACAAACTTACTGTCGAAGCGCTCGAAAAAAAAACCTATTCAAAACTTAAACAATTGGATTCGTCTCTATTGCAATATCTAAAACGAATTCAAACTAAACTGAACTACCTCAACGTAGGTGGTTGATAAACCGGTAGTAAATCGAAACGTTTTTACTATTACTACGTGTTAGCTATACTAACGTATTTAACCTAGGGGCATGTAAGGCGATCTTTGTTCGAGGTCGAGCGTCTTCCCAGTTCGAAATTTAAAACATTTATGGTGAAAATACTTCATCCACTAAATATATCTACATATGTTTAATGGTACATATCAATGATATTATTGCAGGACTTTAATGCTACATAAAAAAATCTTGCGCGGAGCACCTATCACAGAATGTGCGCAATCAAGTGCATCAGTAAAAACTAAGATGTAAATTGATTTATTGGTTCTAATTTATTCTTAAGCTAATTTAAAATATCCTCAGACGGGCTTAAGCTGTGCGACGATTCCGCATTTAATTCTGCGTTAAATATTTTTCTTGTAAAGTATCTTGTAAAGTAAAACCACAATTTCAAGATGACTAAGCATTTTGAACCATGTAAAGCTTTTCAAGTCGAATCATTATGTTGATCACTTCAAGCTAGGCTCTTTAGCTTGTTCAGAATAAACAATGAAAAGTTTAATTTTACTCCAATGCTATATCATCATTTGCTCTGACATAGACATTCCACAAACATTTCAAATTTTCTAACTTAGTGATGATTCAATTAACCCTACATCGCAAACAATATTCACATTTCATCATGCGTAGGATTAATTAAATAAAAATGTTTTTAGGAAGTTTCATAAATAGAACTCGCATATAGCTATAGGAAAGCAAAGAGCGTAACGTACGTCCTTGTTGATCACCGCCAGTGCCACTGCCATGATCAATATACCTGGAGAACACCTATTTTAAGGAAATAATTTCAAGAGCTTGAATTTATTAAGATAAGGATACAGTCAAATTTAATTATTCGAAAGAGCTGTCATTCCTGGTGTTTAACGCCTAAACAGTGGAGGTCGCCATATTTGTTTCACTACGACAATCCACCAAACAGGCGGTATTTACCGCGGTCGAAAGGCGCACCATCTTCAGCAATGTGAATTTCAGCCCACTTAAATGTATTAAAATTAGTGGTGTGTAAAAACTAAATCTGTTGTAAATCGGTGCGAACACATACCTTGGCTTGAACAAATTAGAGAATCAAGAACATCTCACTCGCGCATAGGTTCCAATGATATAGGAAACAAAGCAGAAGAACAGTTTGCCCTAACGAGGCAGATTCTTATGCCGGAAGAAAGTGTAAACTCAAAAAAAAATAGTCTTTATTCTTCCTTTGCTAATCAAAGGGATAACATTTGTGTTGAACAATTTTTTTTTGTGAAACTGTTAGCTGTTGTCATCTCTAAGTCGCATGCCTGGGAGAGCTAAAGATTGTAGTGTTCTTCGTGGGGGTGTAGCTCAGTGGTAGAGCGTTCGCTTCGCATGTGAAAGGCCCCGGGTTCAATCCCCGGCACCTCCATGTTTTTCTTATTTTTTCCTTTTTCAATTTTAACGCCTGTACAACTGCCGCCAATAAATCAGAAAGAATCTCAATATGAGATCATTAAAGTAAGTCGTCCAATAAATTGAAGATATCATATTACCAAACGTGCCGGAAAGTTGCAACTAATGAGAAAAATGTATCACAGCAGATATAAAATCGGAATAATGAACGTTATTATAATCTATGCTTTATTATTATTACTATATCAAAATATACTTTACTGAAATATTGGCAGTTAGTGAAAGCACGATAATCACTTCCTTACTATATCATGCAGGCGGCATAAGCTTTAACTGAACAAGTTTTTATTGAGATCTTCATCAATGATTTGTTTTTTAAGACAGTAGCGAAACAATTTCGCCTGAAAATAGCCATTTTAGCTTCATCATCTTTCATAAAATCTTTAGCTAAATGTTACTAGCAACAAACAAAAAATTTCGATCCGCTTCGAAAATTGTCCTATGGCACTAATTTAAATATCAGCCCTTAGATATTCCGTATAACAAGAAGAGAGACTCTGAATTATTATCACTCGTTCAGTAATTTTCTTAGCAATTGGCGTTCTTTGAATAACTATATTGCATTCTTCGTATCCTTCCAAAACTTTTATTATTTGTTTGTATTTATTCTGTAGATAATCCTATTTATCGTGATTTTGTTTGTAGTGCAGCTTTTTGCTGAATATATTTTCGAAATAATATTATCTAGACAGTTTAATAGACACAGTCCCAAAGGGACAGTCAGTTCAATTTAAATTGTCAACTTTATCGACTAATTTCACGTTAGGTCAAACAAAGCGTTTCTCTGTATACGGTGGTTGTTCGTTTTACTTTGGCAAAGGATATCTGAGCTGTCAAAAACAGATTCCGCACCTCATAAACAGGCACGCTATACTAGCTACTTTGAATAAGCAATCACATCGCGGCCAATTGGCCTATCTCTAACTTCACCTATTGTGAGTTTCGCTTGTAAAGTAAGCTGTAAGTTTACGGATCTGCTAAGCGTCGATAATATACAAAGTGTCAACAAAAGGCGCCTTCAAAAAATGATCCGTCCGTTCATAAAAGGCTTTGCCGCGAAAAGCAAATCGATCTATTCCAATAAGCACTATAACATTTTTACCTCCCCCCACCTACTTCTCATATATTTGTGGAGTCATTGGTATCTGAGGTCAATTGGAAGCTAGAGATCTCATGACCAAAGCAAGACCTATATAACCAATGTTACGAGCTCTTTTTGGCCCATTATAATACACGCAGTGAAACGTTCACTACTGCAGCGATGCCTTTAAATGCGTCTACAATTTTGCGGGTTGCTTCTTTTGTGGTTCGTAACAAATTTCTGCAATAATATATTTTTTATACTTATAAGTAGCTATCACAGTACTATGTTAATTAAGGTTTTCGTTGGCGAAGACTTCGCATGTGGAAAAAATCTGCAGAATAAGACATTGTATTGGAAACGCCTACTAAATTTCATTCTTTCCGATTCAATATAACGACATTGTCATTGCGTAGTTACTTTTTTGGCAAACAAAAGTTACTCGAACAAGCTGATGTAACTCTGTGTATCTGACAAATCAGCAATCACCATGTATTCATTTACAGTACTACCCGTATCAATCATTTGAGGCACCAGGTATAAACGTGCCAGTTAAAGGCTTTAATGGTCATGTCCTACGAGCAATATGTCGGTCCCTCCAGTTGACGTGAGTAATTAGTAATGTCTGTCAATATTTTGATTTTTAATTACGATGGGCGATATTGAAAACCTACGAACTGTCCACTTTCTGTAGCAATTTTAATCCACATCATCATTATTATTATTTTTATTTTATTTAGAATTTGAGCTGATAGTATTTAAATATTTTTCTATTATGTCTTAAAAATCATAAAACATGCTGCCGACATATTTGTTTTTTATAAATAAAACGTTCGTTTAACTTTCGTTCTTGCTTCGACCTATTATCTTCTATTGAAAATTCTATAGGATCTTTACGGTTAGTATACATATTTCCACTCATTTGCTTGGTGTACGTTGATCTAGTTTCAATTAAGAGAAGACGTTGATTACTTGATTCAAAAATGAAATCTGGATTCAGCGGCTTCAAGAACACTTGGAATTTACCAAAGAATGGAAGGATTCGGATAAGATTACACTTTCTAGTAATATTTCATAGTCCAATTGTGTATGACTCAGCTTGTGCGTTTAAGAATTCTTTAATGTTAAACTTGCACCTTGGGCTTGTTACACTAGGCTGTTAGAAGTGTAATGCCATCTTGTATAAACTTACTTGGCAATGAGAGTTCCACTTATTAGAATAATGGATTACAAAGCTAAAGGGAATGTGTGGGGCAGCATAGGTGTCCGATACAATCAGATCTAAACCTTAAACAACTTGAGGAAGTTGCCTAATCATACTCTGGACCAAGTTCGACGATGCACACCTGAAAAAAACCATATTAAAAAAATCAAACGGAAACGATTCCTGACGGAGCTTTTCTGACGACTTCCCTGGCTTACCACAATGTCGCAACATTCCTCTATGATTTCGTAATATGAAACTGAAATATTATAATGACTTTCGCACGTAAATCCCCTGTTGCAACCTAAACAGTTACGAAATAATCGAGTCGAAGGCATGGGGTCTCCAGAAAAATGATGGAAGTTGGACTGGAGCTATGGGACGCATCGAAAGAGACGTAAGTCACTACTAAGCAACCGAACAGTGTGCCATTGGTAACTATCTTTTTTTTAGTTAGCAATTTTTGCATCAGTAAACTAATAACGGCATGTTATTTTGCATTTACTACATACACATTTGCGCAAGAGTCCAAACGCTACTTTTAACTACGCTTAGTCAAACAAACTTAAAACCTTATACTCCATAAAAAAACGTGAGTAACTTTACTTTGTAGACTAAAATGTTTAATCACACCGTTTTATATCCTTCGGACTGGCGTGATAAATTGATTTGATCCTTTTTTTCACATTTCGGGCAATAAACTACATGATCAAATCAGCATTTCCTTAATCTGTGACAAGGGCTCTTAGTGCATGTACCTTTTTGTCACTGAGGCAGCGATTACACGTTCGTGTTCAATTGAAAGGGAGAACGGTAAAACTGTAATGAGCGTTGTAGTGATTTCGCACCTCAGGTATTTAAAATTCACGTGTGAATACACCTTTCAGGAAGCTGACATGACCTTATGCCCTACGAATCCGACAGCGCCTAAAATGCTTGTGGGGGAGCAGACATTTCCCTTGCATCCAATCGAATTGTTAATCCTAAATGGAAGAAAGACACGACATGATCAAAACATGTTTGGGATCCTTTTCACGTTCGACGTAAGCAAAACAAATTAGAAAAAAATACTACAAGGTTGAATGCATTTGACCGTTAACTTAGTAATAATTAAATTCTTTGATGTGATGGGAGCTCAAACACTTCTAAAAATAGCATGGTCCTAGAAAGCAAGTTAGGGCTATTCAACATCAAACAAATACATATGTAATTGCCAAATCGAATTGTTTAATTTGCATCGGCCCAGTAGCTTAAGCCATATCGATCTGTCTAAGTTGAGCTAACCTTACAACTCGAGATATATATTATGTAAGCAAAGTCCCCCCCTACAACCGCTGAAAATGAAAAGTTAAGCTAAATTAAAGCGGCGCAATGATGATCTATCAATAGTTGAACAATTGTGCTAGTTTCGAATACGATTAGGCTGCTGAACTGCTCACAATATAACTTCTACCTTCTACCACTGACTATTTTTAGGGTTCGGTGTGGGCGGTTCTCGTATTCAGTTTACTGCTTATGGCCTTACTAATGACTCTCCTACACTATACTATCTCGCGGATTTCGCCATGGATTCGGTATCAAGGCCCTTCTACAACGTACATCAGCTATGTATTCATGCTAACCCAGAATACGTTTAATGAAGGTATACAGTAGATTTAAAAATTAGTATTGTAGAAGGTTCAACATAAAAAAAATACCGATGTACAAGAGAATTAGTCAAAATAGGCTTCTAATTTTATGCTTCCGGTCACGCATTATCTGTATATGCCCTACCTACACAAAGACATATAAGTACTAAAAATAAAAAGGGTGTACTTGTGCGAACCATAACAAGCCTTTTATATATATGCACTGATAAAGATTTAAGATCTGCCACTACTTTTTGCCAGTGCCTTTTGTGTTAACCAGCTTATTTTTATTACAACTATTATGCAAACTGTATGTAGAGTAGATCACACGTTCTTCTCTCTGTGCTTAATCTCTGTTTGCTTTCAAAAACTTGCTTTTGGTTTTTGTTCGTCATCTTTAATGTTTTCTTTACAATTTCCTTATTCCCGCTTTGAATAATCCGATACTGAACCGACAGGCAACACATTGCCCATGCTCTGCTTCGCTCAAAAGCTTCTCTGGCTACAGAAGCTTGTTTGTTCGTTTGAGGTTTTGAGATATCATTTTCTTCTGTGATTTTCAACCTTCCACTTTATGTTCCGGAGATTCTTGCATCAGCACCGAACTGTTGTTTAGCTAGTGTTTTCATTAACTCTTATAGATTTTACCAGCTACTCTTGCTTTCGAGATGCAAGAATATAATCGTTGAGCGTTAATATTAACACTAACGATATATTGAGCACTTCTGATGACACTTGACGTACTTATCGTCATACCGATGGGAACAATGGAAAAAGAGGTGCTGAAAGCTAACTGGATAATGAGAATATTTGGATGGATAATATCCTCAAGGCTGTATATACAATTGTTTGAACGATATGTTCTTTAAATATTAGTCTAAGCTTCACCACTATAGAACACAAAGTAAGCAACAAATCAAAAGGTACGATCTTAAAGGTACTAAAGAAACTTATATGATCAGCTGCCCATTCCTGTAAAATCAGGACGTATACTCTAGAATATAGAAACATATTTCAAAGGAAAACGATGGAAAGTGCTTAAAAACAAATACTAGATGACAAGAGAGAAGAGTGCATCTTTGATTTAAACGAATGCCCAGAATAATGCAAACATCTAAACAAAAGCTATTGCTGAAAAGAGTACAGTATCCAACAACCTCTTTACTTGGCGTATAATCCTAGTTGACGCTTTTTTCCTGTTTTTTACTTACAGGATAAGGTATCTTAATATCATCTTTGAAAAATTGGCTTAGCTAAAAAATTTTAAATATTCGATCAGTTAAATAGATCGAATAAGCTCATACTACTCCTTTGTCTGGAGCTTTCATTCTGAGATCCCTCAATGGATGCTCATATACGATAGAGGCCAATTTCAAATATAATATCGATCTGCTAGTCGAATATAACTCTTTATATTATGAAATTTTCTTATACGATATAATATTATGAAAATCTATATTATGATATATTATTATTTATATTATGACAATTTGGATAATTTGAAAACACTGTTTTAATGCATTTTTCTCTAAGAAGCTTCCATTGGCTCATGAAAAGTACGGTTGTGCCTTAGGAGCGGCTCTAATACATTTATAGAACGAATAATCGACAAAAATCAATGCTCCCAAAGTGGTATAAACTTGCTCGTATTTCAGGCACAGCTCATCCTCCCCCGAAGAAAAATTCCATTAGTTTGCTCTGGATGTCCTGGTTACTTTCCATTCCGATTATCTTAATGAGTGCGTTTGCTGGTCAACTCAAGGCGTCGATGATGTTCAAACCGGAAAAGCCCAAAATACATAATCTTCTTGATCTATATAATAGTCAACATGACGTTTACTTAGCGAAAGACAGCGCGGGAGAGTCAGCTCTTAAGGTAACAAAATTTAATTTGGATTTTGCAAAATGAGAATAAACTTTTATTATTGTAAATTATACATGTGTAGTCAACGCATACTTTACTCATAATTATTTTTATAATTATGAGTATATATTTTATATATTATAATAATAAAATAATTGTGACTGCAATTGTTTATGATATGTGAATTTGTTAGATGTTATCTAATACACCAGCTATCCTTAATTTATCAGTATATATAGATTGCCTTGAAATGCCGCCCAAATGGAGATGAAACGTAACATTTAAGATTATTTTATACGAGTTACCGTTTACCAATTTTTTGTTTCAAATCTCAAGTTCCGATTATCAGTTCTCGCTTTTTTTTCGCCCAAATATTATTTTTTTAAATATTTTTCTTAATTTTTTGAAATAATTGTTTTCGTCTAGGCTCATCCTGCGAGGTACGTGCAGAAAATGTACGCTCGAATTCTTTCCGACAAAACTTATGGGACCGCTGAAAGAATTATTCAGGTAATTTTAATTATTCTGTATATGATAGTGCCTGCGGAATCCGGTTGTTTTAATCCTCGTTGATTTGTGTTTTTGTTCTTAGCTTGAAACATTAAGAGGAACACCTATTTGCGGCATATAACCCTTGAAATTTTTCCTGGCAGTTCTAAGTCTTCTTCATTGAAGTACTGTCCGCAATGACCATGAGCCCTGACCGACTCCAGATATTTAAATGTGACATAAAACAAATAGAATTAGAAAGCGAAAGCTCAGTCATTATGAAACGAAGATGCATTCAACCCACATTAATTTAAATTCTTGACGAATAATGACGTTTTAATAATCACTGTAGGATGACGTTCTCGATATGGTTCTTAATGACCGCGCATCAATTATCACTTCACGCCCCGCCGAAGCAATGGTCGCTGAGAGGAAGTGCTCAGTAATAGAACAAGGCGATTTCTATATCAGTGAGCGCCCTGTCCGGGCATTTAATGCTGTGTACCATTTAAACTATCGTCTATCTTTGGATCTGCGGCGGAATATTCAAGACCGGTAAGGTTCATAGCACTGATAAATTGGAAAGATACACATTAGTTCTCAACAAATACCTTTACATCAATTCTCTCACTTATTTACTTGTTTTACAAGTTGATGTTCAGTAAAACTAACCGTACGTCTTCTGGACCAACTGCGTACTACGCACTCTTCGAAACTGAAAAAATACTCGTATCGGATTCAGATATTTTGAACCTTTTAAAAGCATATTCATTTTACATTGTTTAGGCTGTGTCATACGTTCCTCATACTGGTAATTTAAACATGCATTATTTAACACATCAAATTTCTCGTGCCGATGTATTTTTCTGTTTTCGTTGATTAGGATTGGTTGGTTGGCAGACAGTGGTTTGTTAGATCGCTGGTGGAAAGAGATTGCTGGTGCCTGGAATGGTTGTTCCAGAGGAGATCCTCTTGATCTAAACGCCCTGTCGATCTCGGACTTCCAAATGATTGCCTGCTTTTGGCTTCTTGGCATCTCTATCGCATCTGTACTTTTCGTTGTGGAAAGACGGACCTGTGTCAGCGGATGTGCGAAACTATGCAAGCGGAATCTATCATGCCATGGAGAATAATACCGCTAAAATAGCGTATATCCGTTCGCATGGTTGAGGACAAATAAACCTTTTCGAAATTCTAAATTCTAAGGAAATTGCAGGGCTCAGCATATTATTTTGCGTTGGGGAATAAACTAGCCTCGCATCAAACTTTATAGACTGTTGCCGATGCATATCGAAGTAAATAAATTTTACTTATAATGAATCAGAAAAAATATACTTGTGTAGTCTACCTGTGCGTGTATGTAGTTTAGAAACAATGCATGCTCATCTATTGATTGTTTATTTGTTTTTATTTTGTCCAATATGAACTGATCTCCATTAGATATCTTTCATTAAAGAAACACTTCTCGTTGATTTCTACATTTACAGCGTTACTTGTGTAATAACGATGCGATTTGATCTCTGTAGTTCAATAGCTACTCCTGAAAAATACACCGCTTCATTTACAATATGTTCCTATCTGCTGAGTATTGCAACGAGATCGAGTAAGATATATTCTGGGTCCATCATATATATATCACTACGGTCCGATTTACGAATTAGGCCAATAGCATCTCTTCTAGGTTTCCAGACGTCCCGGCGCCACCACCGTTGGTGCTCTCAGTAGTTCCTCCATCTGCAGTCAACAGTCGAAAATGCCCCGATTCCTCTGAAGCATAAGCTGCCGCCCTAAATATTAACAGAAGGATGATAATAGAGTTGTGAAAATTTCCCTAAGATTTAGCGTAGCTATGCTTAACCATTACTTAAAAATCATCAAACTTCAGTTGGTAGCACTCATTCACAAAGTTGTGGTACGGCGATGTATTGATAATAAAAATACCCTACCTAGGCCTAATTAGAGAGGCAGAGCATCGTGGGCACTTTTTGGGTAAACGCTTCTACATACAAGAATAATTAGCTCTATTTTTTTTTAATTTAGTCTGTAGAACAGGATATTTCACCTATAGCGAGCATGGATTGTTCGGCACTCATCCAGCAAGCGGTTTCGTCTTTCTCGAAGTGAATTTACAAAGTCTCGTATGTCCAGGACACCATGAGCAAAACCCACATCGTGTAATGCCTGATTGAGAGAATCGACGTGTGCATTGCAACCCCGTAGAGCTTCACGATCCTGTAAGAAACAGGAACCCGTAGAAAAATAATCTTAATACCATTGCGAACTGAATTAACAGGTAGCTATTTGTGTTTCTTTTGAAGAAACAAAAAGGAACTGTTAATTACTGGTAAACTTACCTGAGCCGCTCTTAGGTAGGTACTGATTCTAGACAAGAATTCATGCAGGAGGTCGGCCAGCATATCAACGCAACGTGAATCGACAGCTCGGAACCCACCCACACGCGTGAAGATGAGCGTGCAATGGCGTAGCGCTCGTGAAATTGAGACTCTGAAATCCAGAAACGAGTATGAAAAAGAACGATGAACTGTATAAAATTCACAAACGTAATCAATAAAAATGCATTTAATTAGTAATATGTTGCTGGCCAATGAGGCAATTATATTTTATTTATTTGGTTAAGTTTTCAAATTATAGGGCCATTTGATAGGGTAACATTCAAGCATACTCGACTGCTTGATCGAACCATACTGCCTCACCTGTGACAGTAAGTAAGCGTGGTATCATTGAGTTTTTGATGTTACTCATTCGAATTGGAATCCTTTACGAGTGTTTAAAAAAGTGCATATAAAATTGTTTTATTTATGGTGATTCGAATTATGTTTTACACTACTAACTACGCAGTTTTCATAATGATAAAATGAACGTAACATACCTTGTTAAAGTCAAACGCGGATCCAGCGGCGCATGCTGAACATCAACCTCCTCCACGGGAATTTCCGAAAGTGCTACTTGATGACTACACCCCATCTGTACAATAAGCATACTTTAACGCACTATTGATATAAAACTATGCTCCGTTGATAAAACGACGATAAAAGTATATAAATTTCTTATCCTTCATGGTTCGAGTTGGAAAACTATTTTTTACACTTAAACTATGTTGTCAACTTTGCTTTTTTTGTAAAACGAAAAAATTTGTTTCCTAACACGCTTTTCTACAAGCTTCACGCGAGGAGCAGCCCAGTAATAGCTACCGAGTAACAAAATTCAAAATTAATTTAAGAAAACATACAGCAGCGGACGTAGCGGCCACTTTTGTGGCATATTCAATGTGCCTTTCCAGTGATATTATGTGACGCGATAGACTATCTGCCTGTGAGACCACGGAACAACAGCCAGCCTGAAACTCCGGTCGAGGCTGGTGGTATAATACCGGTCCTGTAATAAGAACAGTATGTATTTTTTGCTCATCAAATATTGTTTCTATCCAGATAACAATAGGTGCTTGCCTCTTTGTCAGCTTTACCTTAGATCTAATAAAATACTGATAGAATACCGATAACCTTATATAAAAAAAAACTCAAATGATACAATTAAATTTCACTCCTTCTTAGAAAACAATATTTCATCGTCATATTTTCCTTTTGTTTTGAAATTTTGTTATGAAACTTAATCTATCTTACCCGTTATAATTTTATTGACCCTATGCAAAATTAAGAAGATCAGTCTTTCTACTGGACATGCAAATTACTACTACACGGAAAGCTTTCTTGGACCGTAAAATTCTACATCAATAAAAACTATAAAAAAAAAAAAAAAAGAAAACCATTCGCAACCTTACCTTCGACTGTGGGCGGCCGTACTTTAAGAAGCATTTCCTTGGGTATCGTCTGTACGGCACCTTCCGTTGGCAAGTCCGTCTCTGTAGCCTCTACGTCCATCTGTAAAAACAATAATCCGTGTAATTATTTTTCAAGCATCAATGGACGCTTCAATAACTGTTCAAAATGCTTTTGTGTAAGTTTTTGACCACAGAACATCCCACACCAAAATCTAACTGCCTGATCAACTTCAGTGAAAAAAAAAGCAGAAACACGTGAGCTAAGTTGAGACATTACAGTTGATACAGGCATAACAGCAGAAAGTTGGTTCTTTTCAAATAGTTAGTAATCAAGATTATTACTTACTGCATTTTAGTAGCAAAGTTAATCTTCACTAATAATTTTGCCTAAGAAAATATACAAAATCTAAATTTCCACAAGACAAGCTCGTATATTTACGATATTAATATATATATATATATATATAAATTTAAGGATATGATATAGCAGGTCGTTTAATTGTTTCTTTTCTAGTTCAAGACAGGCTATTACACATTGCAATCAATTGCAAGCCCTAAATAAAGCGTCATGAGCTTTTACGAATAAAGCTTGACTTCATTTGATCATAAGCAAATCGATTGTGAAGGAGCTTCCTTCTCTAAAGGTAGATTTCACAATAAACTCCTATAATCGTATTATAATCATTTCACATTAAGCGTGATACCCCCCAACAGATTCCGCAATATGAATATCGGAGCACTAACTAGTGCTCCTAGAATCATAATAGTTCAAAACTGTTGTTTTAATTGTTGAATCAGGCTTCTACCCTAAATACCACTAAATATAAGAAGTATGAGTGAATAAATTCAATTTATTTTTTCCCGCCGCAATAAAAATGACAAGATTCATTTTCCGCTGTTTCGTGAACTAAGAGTTACCTAGAGATGTCGGTGTAGGAAACTAACTGAATACCACATTTCGGTCATACAATGCCCAAATAAAGACGACCCCACTTAAATCATTTTGACGACAAGATCTTCATTTCGGAAAAAAATATACATTATCATCTTTTTAAATATATTATTGTTATATATTAATACATTAATGTCAATAGCATGAGGCCAACCAGGCACAGAAATCAATGTACATCTTGGAATTATTCTACGTCCTAATAAATCATCAATTTTTCACTTAGATTTCAATATAAAAAAATTATCTAGAAGAATCACAAGTATGGACCTGGCCAACTAACTACATGACTGCGACCATGTGAAGAAACTTACAGTGTTCGGAATTTACTTTTTCGAGTGCTTAATAACAGAACGCCAGATCTTCGACGTCGTGAAGGGCTTAAACTTCCGTGATCATATTTAAGATGTAGCATCAGCTTTTAACCGCTAGCTACCACCTTCAATAGTATTACCAATGCATCTCCTTTGCTTGCAACAATCGAACACCGGCAATATAAAGCGCCAAATCAAAACATTAGTATCCCGCGCGGCGTGCACAAAGATTGGCGATCACTTGAATCAGTGCTTCAGCACTTATATGCATCACTGGTTAGCAAGTTAAACTATTTTCGTTCTAAACACTTGATTCTATTCGTTGTCTTCCGACGTATTTAGCAGGATATGTTTGTATCCGTATCCAGAAGAACGAGGAAAATCGAGCTTAAGCAGTGTCTCTGTAAACTCCGCAATCCGTGTGTTAGGATAGGCATCCCGAGGTTTAACCGTGCCCGGCAGCTAGAGGGCCCGGCTCAGGCGCCATCTGTTAAGTTTCGTTTCGTATGTATTATACTGACGCCATAGCAAACCGTGCGTGTGAAGGGAGTGAACAGTCGTATCTCTTGCCCCCAATTATGTTTAGGTGCAACGCCGGCTCTTCTCCTCCATTTTCATTACAGTACATCCTCTCTTTGGTTTCTGTTGTCCATTGATTCATTTCAAATATATAGTGTATTCGCGATAAATCGTGAACTGTTTCGTATCTACGACTTACAAAAAGAGAAAGTCAGTGACCTTTTGTGCGCGGAAAGAATTATTTGGTGATTGTTAACAGTTTGCGTTCCGTATTGTGCTGTGCTTTTGTAAACATACATTGAGTTCGGGCTCTAGTCTTTGGCGCGACTGGTTCGATTACGGCATCCGTTTAATTGGAGCCTTCACACAGTAATCCGAGAAGGACCTTCATTAATAGAACAGTCCGTATGAAATGACCCACCTGTCGGGACACGTGGACACGCTTACATAGGCTACAAAAATTAAGACTTAGGCAATACTTAGCAAGGTAGTTGGACTGTAGTATAAACATGAAATAACAGACACAAAGGCTTCTGCGTATACTTTATGTGATGCTGCTTCTGTTGGTTGTAGAATTGGTTAGACTAACGGTAGTAGTTTAGGCAGAAGTAGCGCCAGTTAAGAGTAAATCCTTCAATAGACAGTGCAAAAAAAGTAGTCAGAAGTTTCATTGCGGTTTACTCTTATGTTTAATCGATAACTGGTAAAAATTAGTAGTAGTAGCAGCAACTAATGGTTGAGCGCTAAATTTTTGTAACCGACTTTCGTGGGTTAAGTTGAAGGACAGCTGCACGGAAAACTGTAAATCGTGGTATTTTATTTTCTTCTTTATCAATGAAATAGCTTTCGCCTAGATTTGCCGCGACTAGCTTATATATATATATATATATATATATATATATATATATACTTGTGTAGATAGTAAATAGAGCTGCTTTTATTTTTGTCTCGAATGGATGAAAGAAAGGTGTACACTTTTAAAGTGCTTGATTTCTTGCTGAACACGTTTCCAACTAAAATTATTGCTGAATGGAGCCAGAATATTTAAGGTAGCTCGTTGCTGATATAAAACCTTGTGGGATCAATAATCTTTATTATTGACATATACCACTGCTGTTGAGAAGCATTTTCGTTAATGCAAACTTAGTCTATATGTAGGCATTCATATTTTCTGAATTCGAACTTACTCATTTAGGGTATTATTACTCCTATTTTACTAGTGTGTTGCCCATACCTGGAATGCAGAACATTGATTCATTTAATGTAGTGATTCACCACGTGTGATGCCATGTGATATATGTTCTAAGTGAGATTTTTTCAGTGACTAAAACTGAATAATTTATCATTTTATTATAAATTTTGTAGTCAACAGGATTTATTGACACACTAAAATTTTCTACTAGTCCTGAACATTATAATTCTAAACATCCTAGCGCGTTTTGAAATTTAGCTAAGTCTACTATTAAACATATGCGAGCTTGTAACACCATATTAGAGTAGTTACCATTTGTGCGGCTTATTTCATTTAGAAGAATTTTTTTAACCTCGGGGGCGTTACTCTAAGTATTTCCTTGACTAATCCTTGGTAAAAAGAGTTTTACTCCTTTCAGCTTCTAAGACTTTAGACAACGTTGCGAGACCGGAAAGTTACCTATCAACGCGCATTTGGCGTTTAATCGATACTCGTAAGAAAATGTTCACCGAATTTTGTTAAACGTACTTTTTTTCTGGTGTATGATACGGCACACGCAACGTTTCAACACTGTCATGATCATATATGCGGGTCTGTACGCAGTTCTACAGGCTTGTATATTAAGCTTCACTCCTTTTTGGATGCCTGAATAACCAGTTCTTATGGATAATGCTCGTAGAACTCTTGTAAAGGTAGCGATGTATAAATCGCACGTCCAGTTTCATCTTGCGTACAAGACTAATGCCACGATAAGATAAAATAAAGGTCAAGGGGGTATGGTTAACGTTCATCAAACGAAATCATCAACCCAACTGTGATGACAAATGACTTTCGAAGACAATTTCCTGTTGTGGTCAGACCGTCATCTATGTATTATGGATGGCAGCTATATAGGGGCACCTACAAAGCTTCCATCGCACCGTGCTATGGCGTGATTCTATCAAATACGTGAATTATTACTTCTTTCGTCACAAACAGCAGAAATAACTTTGACGTGTTTGCGTTGTGGTTACATTACCCAGAATGTTAAAATGAATTTCGAGAATGGGTAACTTCTATGAAATGTCTGCCCACGTTAATCGTGAGCATTTGCGCATCAAGAAAGGCAATACCGCTTTTTTTTGCACAAACGTTCTCGGGTGCTAAGGCGCCAGTCCTATTGCTTCAGATACAGCTTCCTACCACTGAGTAGGGTGCATCCCTATCGTTTTGCATTTTCTTAATCAATATCAAGTTATGAGCCATAAAGAAGATATGTTATAACAACCTTGACACAGAACATTCACTTACGCTGGTCGTCGCTAACTGGCATAATAAGAATTCGCGCTTGTTTGCTCCGGATCAGTTTATTCTAATGTCAATATTTTTGTGAAATTAATTGTATAAAATGCGTTTGTTTAGTGAAGCAGCAAAGACATATTCACGCGTTCAGCTCAGATGATAACGTAACATAATTACAGATGAATGAATAAGTTCAGTGTCAGCCACAATAGTATAAATAAAGAAAAAAATACGTATTGTTTATAACAGGAATTATGGATTCTTAAATCTATTAACTATAAAATGGTGCATCATCTATTTGCATACAGGTCGAGTCTCATAGCTAGGCCGAATTAGTAACGTAATTGTTTGAGCCACTTAAAGATGAATGAACTTCTTGACTTTGAAATTCGATACTACAGTTAAGGATAGCTTTAAATGGCTGGTTTTCAGCAGAAGCGTTTTAGCCAAAGCCTGTCTTGAGGTTTCGTAAACAGACATACGTTCATTAACACGGCAACGTTTGAGAAACGTAATCGATGAAAAAAATATTTCGCATTACAGTGGCAAATATTTTTTTGAACATGCCGTTTGCTTTTTTGATTCTTCAAATCGTCATTGACCGATGTGGCCTTAGGGAATTAGCGGACTGTAATCAACGAAATAAAAGCACAAAATCGTAAAGGTGTCTAAGATCTGTCAGAGGCAGAACTTACACCACAGAGACCTTTTGGTTGTTCTGTGCACACCGTTACTTAAAGCGTGTTATCCCTTGCGTAGTAGTTAGTATTAACGTGCTTAGTCTGATTTATTCTAGATTATACGAAATAAAAGTTACACAAAAAAGTGTTATTATCAATGCGTTCTTGATATCTATCAGAGTAAGAATTTTTTTCAGTAGAGTATATCGTTGCAAAATGGAAGTATTAAGCTCCTTATGAAATCTTGATTTACTCAACCACATTCCTGCAGTACCATAGAAGTTGAAAGAAAGCGCTATTTCTATCAGATCCTAATGAAGCAAACGTTCAGCAGTGATATTGTATACACTAAGGTCCTATGTAAATTGTTAATATACCATATAATCAAGGTCGGCTTTACAATAAAAGTTATTTAAATGATGGAAACATCAATCGGAATATTGATCGTATGTGTGTGCAATATTTAGATATAATTTGGTCATTTAAAAGAGAACATACAGACATTGGACAGAGCGGTAACCATTAGAGTTGAAGGATTACCAATCATAAGTAACCTGAAGACTATATTTAGCAGTTAAATTTATTGAGTATGCGCGGATATATTTATGTCTTCTCGGTCTCTTTTTAGTTGGACGGTTGTTTGTCTGTTTTTGATCCTTTAGGCGAAGACCAACCTTCGCCGCAATCCAAGATTGACGTAGACAGCATTACAGTGAGCTGTATAGTAATACTGGCGCTTATAAGGCAGATGTTATTTTAAGGCGTAAATATATTTCAAAGCCTTTTATCTTCGAAAGTAACATGTCTGATTGATAGACACGTAGCTTCCTACACAATAAAGTCACAGGATAAACTTCTAGCGGTGGTAGATATGAACGCGTTTCGCGGGGAGACTTAAATTAAAGTTGGGTTTGTGTGACAATGGTGTTACTGTAATACAATCAATGCAAAATATATATGAAGCACTATATTATGCAATAATCTTTAGATTTTTTTTGAAAGGTTTTTTGAGATTGACTATTTTGTTATACTGAAGGAATGGTTCAGCCCAATGTAGCCCTACAAATGCTACCATAGGTACTGATGCCAGAACCTATCTTTCATTACTAGTGATTGAGGATACGGTGATTTATTATTGAACTGATTAGCAATCGTTTGAGCGGACGCTAAATGGACGATGCTAGGTGCAAAAAAGTTGAAACGAAAATTGAGTGACTAATTAATGACTCTAAGTTTAACATATACCAATGTAAAGGGAGAAATCTGTCGATACCCAGGGTTTGACGAAGATTATTCAGCCCGCTCTAACTCAAAACACCCCATGATAAAATATCAAAAATATTCAGCTGTAATCATTTATATCCTATAAATTTTATATTTCTAGCAGCAATTAGGTTGTGGAATGTGTTTAACAATTTTAGAACTGTATAACTGATATATCACGGGCTACCGCTTAGTATTTCGTTCTATAGACAAAAAACAAAATGACGTTCTGTTAAGTCTGCATTTAAGGCTTATGTAAAAATTTTTTCAAATTTATACCTCGTGTTTATGTTTGCTTTCTCAGTAGTTTATTGGAACAAACGATTAATAGACAAAAGTCAAGTGAGTCTAGCACAGTACCGTCTAGTGCTTTCAGAAAGTGACGCAGATTAGAGTGACGTGAAGTTAATATAAAAATTTGGTACGATTCACATATAACCGCGATGTGAGACTATCGATTTCTAATATGAGACTAAGGCCTGCTATATTTGTCGGATGTACGCGTTCAATGATTCTGTATTGGACGGCTACTACATCCTGATAATGATTTGTAATTATGACACAATAAAATATCACTTAATCTTTATAACTTTATCACAATGAAAAGAAAAAACAGATCGTCTATTTGGTCCACATACAAGGCTACAGTTCAAACAGGACGTATTTTCTCAGTTCAAGTTCGTGTTTGCGCATTGTTACTTATGCTTATTTAGTACCCACGACCATGGCCCTCTATTTAACTGATCAAGATGGTTGTTGTCTTACCACCTCAATTTAGGGCAAGTTTATGATTTTGTAATATATGCTAATGCGTAATGCTTAGACAGTGACGTAGGACTATATACACTTTAGTGACACGGCCAGCTCTAGGCATGATTTACGTTCGCGATGATCATGTAATTTGTGTAAACAAAATGAGGCGTATCGCAGCATCGTGTTTCATTTGCTCCATTTTCTTATCTTTTTTTTTTTTACAAGTGGTTGGGTCTCTATATTCAAACACATAGTGAATCTACAGGGTTGTTAGTAGATAGAACCCCCAGACGCGGTTCTTACTGATACGCCCCCCCTCGCGCTATGCTATTACGTTAACAATAGACCGAGCATGCACTGCGACCTCGAACTGGTAATAGGTATTGACTTGAGCAGCCATTTTGTTATTGCATCTGGAGTTATGAGCTGTTATTTTATTTGCATTACTACACGGATTTGTGGCGTTTACAACAAACGCTGGCGCAACGAACTATTATATATTGGTCATCTATTTACTATCGATAAGCGTTTGAAACGCTGCACAATGCTGATTCTGTTGTGACGCTTGTTACATAGAGAACTACGTCTGTTTGCTTGATTGATTTATCTATGATGCCGTTTTATCGATAGATTTAACTACAGCCGACTCGATGTGTGAAACTTACTTGTGGCTAGAGAAAACAGTAGAGATACTTAAATGCGAATAGAGCTTGAAAAGTGTGCACAGTACAGAAGAAGTTGTCTTGTAATAATCTTCCCATGGGAATAGCTAATTAGAGCATCATTAAATCTGTATAACAGAACGACTTGTATAGCTTACGACTAACCTCCAATTTTAATTATTTCTTGCCATCAGTCTGCTTTGTCGGTAGCTCAAGTCAACTTAAGCCATATGACGTATCAGTAAAATGTAATATACCTTTTCCTGCTGCTGACGGTTAAAGCTAGTGACGCCGTAGTAATGTATTTTGCGCACTTTCTAGATGTTAGGATACGGGAGCCTGAGACGTTTATGGTTTCAAGAGCTTTTTCAATCAGTACAACAAATTCTATAAGTGTTTTATAGCTCTGTCTGCCAGTCGTGTCAATGGGTATTGACTAGGAATAACCTTAGGTCCTTAAAAGACTGCTGCAAAGCCTAGCACTTTAGCCACAAGTGTCAACTAAAATCGTACATTTGATCAAACCGCCAAGCTCACGCCCATTTTAGCAACCCAATGTGAAAATACGACGCAACGCCTTCTAGCAACTACGCACGACCGTTAGTGATCGTTTAGTGCTAATGATTAGCCGGACCCTATCTCTTGTTCTCTTTCTTTCTAAGAAAAACGTAGTCCACATACGGCTTGTCTTTTGAGCACAATCCGTCAGTAGTATCGTAGTTCAATTAGTTCCGTCTAAGTTTTTTGCTCTTAGCTAGAAACATTAAAAAAGATGTGGCGTTCGCCGGGTCAATGCTTTGATTCGAGATGCAAAAAGATGAGTAAGGGTCAAAATGTACCTGTCAGGACCTTTTATCTGTAAAAGATGCAATATGAGGTTTATGCTGATAGGACGTGTTTTACTTAATATCAATATTACGTGAATTATATTTTGGTCGTCAAATAATTTTGCAGAGAGTAACTAGTGGTAAGATAAATGGCATTTCAATTGCATTCGAATTTAATGATTCACTAGATGATAAAACAGACTAAATTTTTGTTAAGTAACGCTAATCAAAGAGCTAATACATAGGCTGAAAAAGCCTTGTGATACTCCGAATTCGCACTTGCAACATGAAATAGTTCAAATCGTCTGCTACCGCAGAAGTCTTTGCTGTATGATATACCGTACAAAATCAAATATTGACAAAGACAAATCGTGAATATATTACTCTTGATACGAAATATTTTATTTGACAACGGGCTAGCTAAAAATAGGAGTTTGCATAATATGCTTTCGCAGCCAAAGTGTGACCTTTACTCCATAGATCTATCTCTACCTGCATTAAGATGTGTTAATTATTATTTTTGAATAGTCCTTATTCATTTAGTCCAGTATGATTGAGGGTGTTTTAGTACTCAGGATTGCCCCGTAAATATAGACTTATACATAATTAGGTCATATGTCCTAGGTACAATTTGTAATTTTTTTTGTCTGCAGTTACGTCGAAGTCAACATTGTAATACGATGTCCGATGGTAATCATAGTGGACATCAAGGTCACGGACATTTCAAAAGCCACAATATATCCGGCACAGGCCATCAAGTTCCAGTGCACAAAACAATGATAGAGGTACGGTTTTACGTATATATAACTATTTCTATAGTTTTATTTTTAATGTTTATATTTCTATATTGTTGCAAAAACCTATTTTAAAATATTAATTTCTCTGTTTTAATATTCATATAATTATTACCTGAATACTAAATGTGACAGATCCTTGAACTGCTGGATTAGTGAGCCGTGGTTTCACAATTTTGGAGTATCCCTTAATAGACAGTAAAATCTATAGAAAATTCTAAGAAGATTAAAAATGCTCAACGGACCTCTTGCAACATGTGTGAAATTGAACCAATGAAAATTTCGTAAAAATTTTGAAGGAAGATGATACTACTGAATGACCGCTTGATTTAACATGCGGCGTAGCCGTGCATCGGCCGCTATAAGCGCTTACGTTATTAAAACGCGGAAGAACGCTACCGATAGCTTACTATTGACATGTGCCTAGTTTAGTATGACAAATATTGACAGTCCGTTGGTTTCTTCTAGGAAGAATTCTACGTGAGAAAAGCAGCCAGTTAAGTAACACTCAGTAGATTTTAATTGTAATCCCGCTACCGCTTGTATCTAGCCTACCATGGCATTTCAATATATAATCTAATTTCTGTAAGGGAACAAAGTAACCAAATAGCCATTTACTAAAGCAAATCGTATGTTTTAGATGCATTTTATATTCGACCCAAGCCTGTTTTTTCTCTTAGAGCACCGTATGTTGATTTAAATCATCCCAAAAATTGTCTGCTTTACCTAAAAAATCGTTCATATTACATTAAATCCTTGATAAATATCAGCTTAAGGTTAGAGCCTGTAACGCAAAAAAAGGCATTATCTATTGGGTGCGTCTTCTGGCAAAATTAGCAACCTACAATCTTCAGACTGATAATACAATAGTAGCTCAGTACTGGATAGCATACCGGCTGTTTTTTTATATACCCTACATATAACGTTTCTTATATTTCTGTACCATTCCAGATGATGCAGATGACCTTTCAGTTTGGAACAAAAGAGACATTGCTTTTCGACTTCTGGGAGGTAATTTTACATCAATAGATGTTTTCTACTTAGAAAGAACCTAAGAATTATGAAACTATTTATTTATCCGTTTTTATTGCAATTCTATTTACTTTGTAAGTTTATTATGCTACCGAAAATCTAAACAGGCCCTTACTTAGTTCAGACCCTGAATACCGTAACATGACTACTTCAATCAGCTTTGCAATTAGGTATTAGACTACTGAGGGGGGCGAGCTGTGGAATCGATGTCACCGGTTCCAACCCGTGCCAAATACGATGGATAAGTGAATATGAACTTGTTTCCTTGAAACAAACTGACCGTGCATCCGAATGTGTAAAGTATAGTCCGATATAATTTTTTTTTTGATGCAAATTATTAATTTGTAGTTGAGGAAATTAGCAGAACCTAATTGTTTGCAACATAATTTTGTCATAATAGGTGGACAGTACGATTGGTATGATACTGTCATGCATTGCCATCTTTATCATGGCGTTTCTTTATGAGGGTCTTAAAACGTTAAGGACACATCTAATACACAGAGAGCACCGGTCAAGGTATGTACCTCTAAACGGTAAATCAATGGGCATAATAGTAACCTATTTTCTTCCCACCGGTTATTTTACCTCTATTCAGTAGTGAGGATATCGTCAGCTTGGAAAAATGCTAATTTAAGTTGAAATCGAATCTGTTTTTATGATGTTGGTGAGTAATTAATATAGCATTTATTTTCTATCTTAGTTATTTATCACCTTAGCTATTATGTTTGGTCTATTAAATGTAGATAAATACCCAGTCTGTCTATTACAGATATACCGTTGTCCGTGCTGAGAACGAGATGGCCGGCCCAACAAGCGCGGCTCCCGAGGGGAATATCGCTATTCGGTGATTGATATTTATTTAATATACAACTACAATTAATACATACAGTTAATAGATAAATATGTACTAAATTTTGCAACATTAACTAGCGGCAATTTTTTAGCCCACCTTTGTCCCAAAAATTTTTTTTCAAATAACATTGAAATACGTAAAAGTAATACTTGAAGTACAATAATGAGTTACTAAAAAGGACCCGTGGGTTTCTTGGGAACTGTAATATCAGCTTTTTGTAGTTTTCAAGTTACCTGCTGTTTCCCCCTTGCGATACTCTTTATTGTTATTTGCAGATTTTTCTGTTCCTTTATCCATGTGTTGCAATATATTCTGTAGTTCTATTCGTTTCATTATCTCACAATTGGAATTAAATCGTTTGAATCGTCACATTCTTAACCTACCAGTCAGTTATCGCCTTACCCCATTATAATTGCTCTGCATGAACATAAATTTGCGCCACGGAAAAAACTATTACTATTATACGCAAATTGTGTAAGTTTGTGATAGCACTGGTCTGAGATTTTTGCAACGTTAAATATGTGTCGTTGTTATGTCCTCGAATAGCAGCAATAAATATTTCTCTATCGGCGCTTTACAGGTCGGGCATGCTAGGTTTAACACACATTCAACAGACGGGCTTATATATGGTGCAAGTATTACTCGCATACTTTCTGATGCTGCTGTTCATGGCCTTCAATGTATGGATCTGTCTGGCGATAGTTTGGGGGGCTGGTCTGGGTTACTTCGTATTCGGATGGTATCGTGCTTCAGTGAGTTACTCTGTGGATGACCATTGTTCGGCGTAGAACCTGCTTTACAGCACAATTCATGTATTCTGCTATTATATCGAACAGACTGAGATACTGCCCACCAATGAGGTTTCAATGGCTGCCATAGTCGCACCGGCAAGTTCGCCTGTGCAGATCAGTTATATACCCTCACACTTGTTTTCAGTGAACAGTGGTTGTGGCTTTGTTCTGTGCAGCTGGAAACCTGTTGTTCATGTTTTCCACAATAAACGCAAATTTACTACACACTAGTGAGAAACGAGTAGTCTAACAACTCAAGGGCAAAAAGCTTTTGGGTAGTGCAGTCAATAGATCGATTTCACGACGTCTAAACTGGAAAATGATGGTCATAATTTTTGGAAACGGATAACTTGCTAAAGTCGCACCTTTGTTTGTAATAAAATATAAAATAAAAATGCTTATGGTATATAATATAGTGCCAATGCGAAACGCTACTTTTCATAAAAAAGCGTAATTTAATATTTCTGTAACCGAAGCTCACCTCTATAGATTTTTTTGGCATAAGTGAAATATGTAAGCACGAATTACCCGAACAATGACTCTTCTAATTACTAGTAACGTTATTGCTGTTCGAGTAAAAATGCATACATTAAGAGGAAATGTGTTCTGTTTCATTTTATATTTTATACATAGTACTGTATTTAGGCCTGGTGCATATGGAGATTATTTTGACAGCAATACTATATATATATATATATATATGTATTTTGCGCAAGTACCCCGGTAGAAGCGTTACTTAGTCTAAAGTGGCTTAATTGGAAGTGCAATTTATTATGCATCAATAATTAGGTCCCGAAGCAAGTATTTTGCGTTTAGGTCAACATTCTCATCACTATTACTGCTGAGTACAACTGGATTATAATTACATTTTAACCATTCCGATAATAAAAACCTATATTAATAGTAAAATATGAGCCTGCCTAAAAATTTGTATGGCCGAATTTTACAAAGTGACTATTTGCAAGCCTGTTTCGATGCAACTGAATGAAGTCTCTTTTTATATATACTGCGTGCGAACGTTATTGTTTTCGGTAAGCAAGCTCCAATGTTCTAAATAAATTATGGTGAATATGTAAGTTAATTGATGCTCTACCTAATAAATGTCTAGGCTTTTAACGCAAGCTTTTTCACTTGGTAGATGTTGCTTGTCAGTAGTTGTCTAAGTTTGAGAGCGGCATAAAATCTGCACCTTCTGTAAACTATTTTACTTTGTCTAATAGGTCGCATGTGTCAAATAGCTTGCTTAAACATTAATGGTAACTTTAATTAGTGTAATGTACACATTATTCACAAATCTATTAAGTTCAGTATGCTAAATCAGCATCAATGTAACCACACAATAAGTCAGAACATCTAAATAGACTTTATTTAAATTGATTCGTAAAATAATCGTAGAAATAAAATAAATACAACTTTCCATTATTCGTGATCGGCTAAGGCAGCTTCTCTTGAATTGTATTGCGTAGTTTTAAACAATAATCGCTAATAATGCACTAGCAGGTGCGGCTTTTAAAGGACATCTACGTCGTTGGGTATCAGATCTTGACAGGTACTCCATCGAGAATATCCTTGAGACGGTTATTGTACCATTCGACCTTGTCCTTTTCATCTGGACGTGACCGGCACAGCAGTTCGAATAGGTTCCTAAAAAAATCACCATGGGATAAAAGAGTAAATAGAACTACTAGTAACGACAACAAATTACCATTAAAGTGATGACACTTAATTAACCGATTAAATAATAATCGGTAAAGCATTCCATGATGTTTTGTTAAATGTATAATATATATGTGGATGGCGCTGCCATGGAGAGCAATTTGCATTCTACTTTATTTTCAGAGTAATTTTTCTAGGTCAATCATCGAATTCGAGAAGCACAGAAAAGAATCATTTTGAGACAGTATAACATTACATTCCGATCCTGGTTTCCAAGAAAATAATGGACAGTTTACGAACTTGTAGTCTATTTGTTGGAACTGCGGCCCATTTTCGACGATTCCATTGAGAATATCTTGGCCGGAAAGAAGCATTAGTGCAAAGTATTGACAAGCATGATCAAGTGAAACTTCGCGACCAGCCGAGATCGTCGTAAGCTTCTGTTGGATCGCATAGATATCCCTATAGTGTAAAATGAGCAAAAATATAGGCATTATTTAAACGCTTCCCCTACTGCGCTAAATTTAGGGTTACCCGTAACTATTCTAATTTATTTTCCGGGTGTGATAGATGTTACCACATAT